TTTTTTCCAGGGTCAACTGGTCGCTGGGAGCGCTGCCACCTGCGCAAAGTTGTAGAGATTTCGCGTGAAGTGATCCTGTCTCCGAGTGTCGTGGCGAGGGTCTGGTTGGACTCATTGGGTTGATGGGTTTTCGACTGGTTTTTGCCGAATTTTCTGAGTCATAGTAATCCCCAAGAAGGTAGTCTACCCTCCCAATAGTATACTTGGATATACTTAGATATACTTAGATGTTTAATGGCTCAAGTTGGGATTAGTGAATCCCCTGCCATACTGGGAGGATCATTGCACTGATCGTTTTTCTACAGAGGTCACCCTGGTTGGAAAGTGTTCGATTCGTGGCTTCTCCTTTGTATAAGTGGATTGTATAACCTAATACCATTTGGTTATTTAAGATAGCTATAGAAAATCACCATTTTTAATAGGTAAACCACCTATAAATGGGCCATTTTCCATGGCTATGCTAAATAACCAGAGGGTAATTAGCGAGTTGCTGGGTGGGGTGAACCACCAATTATGCTCAGGGCAGCATCCCAGCAAAGAAAGTGGACTCTGGTCGTCTAAGTTGTGAAGCACAGGGCAGGCCTTGTTCTTGGTGTTCATGCTATTCTCCACGCCCGTCATTAGGTCCTCGGACCCAGATTCAGCTTTCCCATCTACAAAGGCATGACTTAAACAGATCCTGGGAGTAGAATCCCATTCATCCCATTCCTATCCTTGCCATCATCCACCTCACCAAAACTTCCAGGCCCACTTGGGTCTGAAAATTGGCTAGACCTTACATAATCCCATTGTGCATTTTCAAAACTGCGTCAGTTTCAGGGCGCACAGCCGCGCAGCCGTCTCCCATGCTGCGACCCAACCAACATCTTCGCGCCCCGACGTCGAAATAACTGCGAAGCTTGGCGCGCTTTTCTTCGATCTGCTGGTTGATGAGCTGTTCCTGTGAACCGAAGATGGGCGGCGACTGATCCACTGGCGATGAAGATAATAGGCGAAATAGGCATTGAGTAAAAAAAAACAAACAGATTTCACCCATCAACACTTGAGATTTTACCCAAAAATTGGGTCGACTTTTGAGGCCTCTGTTTCAAGAGTTGCACTGAATCTGCGCTGCAGTTTTGGCAGCTCTCCCCCTGCCTTCAGCTGCAAGTAGTGCTGATCGTGCAGCAAGATGAGTCCCAACCTCAAAGGCTACCTACTCAGATCACCAATTCACTCCCTATAAATTGTCGGAAAGCGGAATGAAATATCTAAGTTCAGTAGTTCCATGTAGTTCCATGTAGTTCCACTCAGACCAGAAATCAAAGTTCGACCCCAAAATCGCCAATCGCCCCGCTGCCATCCGCTGCCCCCTTGCCGGCCCCACAAGGGTCGACTGATCGACCACATGGAACTGAACTCGCCTGTAACGAGCGAAGCCAAGGCTGCAAGGTACCCAACAACAAAAAGTCCTCCCATTTCTGAGTAGGAAACTGGGCATTTAAAAAAATCCTCCCATTTCTATACAGATTATACAGGATCTTCCCCACTTTTTTTGGAATCTTTTTCGGAAACAGATTGATGGATTAGCTGTCCATGCCATAGCTGCCCCAATTCCTCAGCTCGTTCCAGCCTGTCATCACCAGCTGGAACATCAAATGGAGGATTTTCTGCAGACACTGCGGCGCCTTCAACCAGAGCTTGTGGCAGTTTGGGGATGACACAGGTGTCCCCAATCCTTTCAGGCATGTATTCATTGTTCATGCCACGAAACACTTGCGGTTTCAATAGCTGTTGGACTTTCAAGATATCCAGCGGTATCAAGTTCTCTTCAAATCCCTCAGCTCAAAAGATGAAGCTTCCTCAAAAGCCATTCCCATATTATCACTGATCCCACCCACCTCCTGCAAGAAACGCCGCACTCGGTCCTCCAAAAAAAAAAACAGCGACCCCAACGACGGGGCCCGACCAGTCTGGTGGCCAAGGTCAGTGCACTCTTTTTTCAGTAGTTGGAACCGGTTGAAGGTAAAATTCAGAGGGAAACCAAGCAATTGTTTTATGTACTGTACCTAAAACTTGTTCTGGATTCTTGGTGTCAACTTTTCAACTTTTCAACCTGCAAGTTTCCGGGCTCGTTTCGAGAATCAACATTCCACAATCCGGATGAAAATGAAAAGCATTTTCATTTCGGTCTGTCTGAAAATGGGGCTCCCCAAGTCACTATGGTTGTTTCAAGACTAAAATCGTCCAATTTTTCGGAAGATTTTGGGGTACCCCCGACTTTAGGAAACCTGAAAAAAATATCTACACTGCTGGGTTGAACCAGGCGCCTGCTCGGGAGTGCTCTTGCCAGTGAGTTGAGAGTGGAAATAGGAGATCACATTGTCCTGGCGAGTTCTCTCCACACCTCCGTGACTTCTCAACTTGAGGATTTTCTGGCATGCCAAAAAAAGAGCGTCTGGGATTTTTAAGCGAACACTTTTCGACATGGGAAATCAACAGTTGTTTTCATTGGTACATTGGACCTATGGTGAAAACCCAAAAGTTGATTCACACACAAAAAAAAGACCATCTCTCCATCTTGACACCGCTTTTTTCATCTGGAAGACTTAGAGACAATGAAGCGACATGAAGCGATTTCTTCAAGTCATGCCGGCGGCGACCACCACGGCGCAGCTTTGCATCTGCACTCCGGTCTCAAAGGACAACAGACCTGGACCCGCTGGGGTTCATCGAAAAATCGGATATCCCCAATTCAAATATCTCCAATGATCTCCAATGGATTATCATTCTTTCCCCCATATATTTAAATTGTCTAAGGGGTATACCCCATTTTCAGACATGGATATGTGTCATGTTTGTAGATCATATCCGCCAATATCTAGAGCTTCCAGCTCATCAAAATATAGTTCTTTCACAGGGAGTTGATCCTACCACAAGATACTCTGTTTCAGGTGACCGGATTAGCCACGCATTCTAAGTTTGTCTAATTTCAGTGGCCAACACTCTGTTCCAGATTGGGAAGCTATCGCAGTCCACTTGGGTTAAGGCTCCCCGGGAACGCCCGAAATCATCTAGTCAAGGCCTCTATCTCTTCCTAAGCCATGTGAATCAGTGAGACTTCATGGCATCGGCACGCAGAAAAATCGTTTTTGAAAACTCAGAAATGCAACAGAAGCCCCACCCAAATATCTCCAACGAATCCCCATTGGCCCATGATGCAAGAAAAATAATCCCACCTTCCTCCACGCTTTGCATCAACTGGGAGAAGGTTCCGGAATCGAGTTCCATCACCTCCGAAACAACCAGGACTCAAGCAAAACGATACCCCTACCCAAGGGGCGTTGGGGAAAGGACCATGAAGAACGATACATATATATATATATATCGGGATAGTCTGGTTAAGAGCCCCCAATGAGAGCCGTCCATTCCACTGCAAAGAGCTCTTAATCAGACTATACCCATATATATATATAATATATATATATGTATATATATATATGTATGTACCAGACGATTCCTTGTGACCTTATTTGTGTTTTTTGCTAAGTGGCCTTTAGAAAGAGGTCACTTAAGAAAAATGATAAAAGAGGTCACTTAGAGAGGAAAGAGGTCACTTTGGATATCCCAAGTATGATCCATGACAATGTCCATGATAGTTTGGGTATATTACAGAAGATCCGATGTATTCATCCAATATCCATAGATACCCAAACCATTTCAACTCCAACCACCGCCTCGTCCGCCCCGGCACTGCGGGACTCACTTTGTTGGAGCTGGTGACGCAGAGGACAGAGTTGCTGTCCGGTAGCAGCAGGGCAGGTGAATGGAATGGTTGGGACCCATCATGGCATCAACACATACTATAGGAGGCATAGGAGTTGTATCACACAGCATTCAACTGCCGCTGCCAACGGATGCACGTGTATGCTATGTACCTTTTCATGACCTGTTTGGCCATCTGTCGGGGCATCGAAGCAACGGCCATATCCTTTACCTTACCAACGAGATCTTCGTCCCCGTAGCAGGCAATCCATATCGGAGATAGGCGCCATGCCTGATCGTAGGCAATATGGTCTAGCCTCAGATATGGTAAGACCAGCAAACCATCGAAAGTTACTTTTCCCAATCTCCTTCCAGCTCAAGGGTACGCGTCTCCCTCAAGAAAACTGGTGTTGCCTCAGATTGACCATAATTATACGGTTGGGGTTATATATGCCATGTATATAAATATATATATGTGTAGACTGCCAGTCTTCTATTTTGTCTCACATGGTGCCAGAATTAATCAATCATTTGATTTGTTGGAACTGCAAAGGCTGCATCGGAAAATCCATCGGTCCTGTACAGTACAGATTCACCATTCCCTCGTTGCTGGCTCAGTGCCACGTAGCTGGCTCAATGCCTCGTTGCTGGCTCAGCGCCTCGTAGCTGGCTCATTTTTTTGAACAAAAAGCAACAAAACAAAACACGCGAAAAAAATTAGCCAGCTGCATGCCCTTGGGCCAGCTCGGTGTGCCGTCATCATCCCGGCCAATACATATTATGTATTCGTGTTTGAGGTTTCACATTCGTTCGCCAGCTCAACGTGACGTAGCTGGCTCAATGTTTTCGAGTTTTTTTTCTCGTTTTTTTCGTTCAAAAAAATTGAGCCAGCTCGATGCCATCGAGCTAGAGCGATGTGTTTGAGCAAGCGCGGTGTCGCTGAGGTAGCTCGTTCCACTTGAGCGAGCCTGCAAATTTTTCCCAACGTGTTCAATTGCCAGGTTCAGTCCCAAATGATTCGTTTAATAGAGATGGTACCCCTGTTGCAGCCCAGAAATTTAGGAGCCACGTTCTGGGCCAAATCTGCCTAGACAGCGGCACAACATTAAAGTCAAACACATGACCCCTTCTGAAATTGAGCCAGCTACATGTTTTGAGCTAACTCGAAAATGAGGAAGATTGTGGATATTGCTACGTTCAAACCAGAAGGAGCCCCTAGTACAAAAAAAACAAACCAAAACACAACGTACATCGCCTTACCACCTAATGCACCAGAGTGTCCGATGGTATTTTGGTCTGATTTTCCATAGAAGTTTGCCATGTTCAATGGCTTCAGTGGCCAGAGAGTTGAAGGCACAGTGGTAGAGGTAGCAACATTCCTTAGATGGGTCAAACTGGAACTTATCATAAGTAATCGTTTCGGAGCGATACGTTCGTTTTTGGATTGTAGAATGATGTACCGTAGGCTGCACTGGGCAAAGTTCAAGACTCTTGAAGCCGGCGTATGCTGTCTTCCGACAACACGGGCCCGGGAACTTCATTCATAGCTTTTCTCATGCCAACCAAGTTCACAAAGACAGCTGCACGAAGCCTTGGCTCCATGGAAAAAAATCAGCCTCCTTTTCTGAGAAAAACAAATTCACTGGCCTTTGCCACTACACCGGCTTTACCACTACAAGTAGTACCCGGGCAAGCCGGGGGTGGAAGCTTCAAATTTGAAACGCTTATAGCCTATAGAGCGGAACAAAGACTGTGCCTATAGGTTGCTGCCAGGCCATCTGTGCTTCACAGCAACAATCTCTCGACTTGTCATATGTCTCTCTTCAACTGATCTCATCTCATCGCAGTTCATTTCATCTCCTCATTTTCCACTACCATAAGAACTCCCCAGTGTGGACACATTGTTTGGGAACATTCAACAGTTTACAGGGAATCAGCAAGCACTGCAAAAACACCGTCGCAAAGTAACCCCGCATGTTCATCACCTGGGTGTTGCGCAGCCACTGCCACGCAAATTCCCATGAGCCATTTTGCAAGGACCACACTTTCCTGGGCGATGGAATGGTACTCACACATTCACCCGTAGGGTAGAAGTTGTTGACAACCAAACTGTGCAACCTAAAACTGTCTCCATCTGTGGGCTGAGGTTTGGTCAGCAGCGTTAAAGTGCTTTTGGGCCACGGTCGGATAATTTTTGCCACCCAGACAATGTAGGTGTGCCCTTGGTTTCAACACAACACACAACACGATGTACAGCCATATTCTAGTTCCGGCTGCCCATACCAAAATTGACATCCAAGTGACAGAGAGAAAACTTGTCCCTTGTTTCCTTAGATTTTGGGCTTTGGAAAATATGGTCAACCGGTGGAACCAATCTTTGCTGCGCAAAATCGCGAATCAAGCGTCGGATGTTATGCGCCCGACATTCTTGTGAAAATTGGGCATGAGATGCCCGTAGACGGTCATCAATGTTCTCACCTACAACCAGGCCACAGTTCAATGATGTCACCAGCAACAGGTCTGGACTCAACCAGTCCTGCCTTGCCACACCAAGTCAGTCTCGCATAACTCGATCAAAGCCTACTATACCATATGGAACAAGGATTTCGATCATGCGAGTGTTATTTGTACAAAACTATATCTCTTATAGTCAAGGAACCGATGCTGCAGCATCGGGGATTAGTGTCAGGTCTGTCACGTGAAGCCAGTCTTCATACAATATATCGATATGCCACCCAGGAAGCTGAACCCAAGGGTTGTTGCGGCAATAGCTCGAAATAAACTGCTGTGTGTCAGCCTAGGCTGAAAGACTCATTAATTAAAAAGGCTACGGGTCACAAAAAATGACAATACCAAATATAACCAACAAATCACTGTGAATGTTCCAGTGATCGGCATCAAATTTGGTTTAGAAACTCTGGTGCCTCTGTGGGGGGCATGTTTTCCATGAAGAGTGTAGCAATTTTCACCCGTACGCGTGGCACGACAATACCAGCAAATGCACTCGCTCACCCAGGATCCCGTCATGTGATAGGCTCTCTGAATATATTTTTGGTCGCCTTTATGGCAAACAAGTACCCCACGATACCCACCTGCCAGTGGCATTCCAGCCTTGGACTGCCTCTGAGGCATCGGATTTCCCCAGGGATCTGTGTCCAGCCATGACCCCAAAGATAGTTCAGTTAGCGACCAAACGACCCATGCGTCCAGTGTGTCCCATGTCGCATCAACGCAATGTTGATTGTCAGTCACATACAGTAGCATCCGTGAATCCCATGGTGAGCATCCTCCTACAAGAGCACTGGCCAGTGTGGATATGCAAAAGCTCCTTCTGCGGTGTGACTCTGCATCATCTGCATGAATCACAAGTGGAACGACTTTCGTCAGGTCGATGTCCTGGTCTTTGGGATGGGGTGAGCTGGTCAGCCAACTTTGGATCAAATTGCTGCACATGTATATCATATGAGATCATGCCCCTGAAAGTGCCACAACTACATGCATCGGAGATAAGCTGCAGGCAAGAGTCAGGACGACTTAGAACTGGATGTTGTCGGACAAAGTCTTGGTCTCGATTTCGGTTCCAGTAGTCCATGAGAGCCTGTGTGTCAGGTCATTGGGATATGAGCAATTGGGTATAGGTCGGTCAACATTGGGTACCCCCCCAAAAACAAGGTGGGCCAGAGAGCCCAAAAGCAAGACGGCACACGGCACACAGCACGCCTTTTGTTTAAAAAAATCTTGTGATGTGGGCATCTGTGCTCTGCACGAAATCGACGTAAGATCTTTATTGAAACATCGTGCGCACTGATGGTATCAGGGGCCACAATTCACCACAGCATGCTGTGTCAGCTACGTCTGCATTCTTCCAGTCGCTATTTCTGCTAATGTAAATACCTCTGTTAATACTAACAATTAGTAGGCTAACATCTGTGGCCCCCTGGGTCTTGAATTTTGACCTATACCCCAGTCAGTGGTATGAACATGTGCTACACACTGAACATGATGACAGCCAAGACACTCCGTCTTCCCCCAAAAATCTTCGTTTGAAGAGCTCTTGGTCATAGGCATATATCGAAGCAAACCTAGATGAGGTCTCCAACCAACGGGGAAGTAAGATTTCTTTAATCAAGAATCATGATTTTACTTCGAGAAACATTTCCGATGGCAGAAACATTGGGTGCTTTGCAATGAAGTACGGCTCTGGCAAGGAGTAGTCCACCATAACCACAGATGCCCTGATGAGGCAACACGGGAAGAAACAAAAGCAACCACGCAATAATCCTTGGTGCGACATCACGTGTTTGCAATTTGTTGTTTTGACTTACAATATTCAGATCCCAGGCACTCATGGGGATATGGCATGATTTTTCGCCATGGTTGGCGATCTAACCACCTCCAGAACATCTTGGGTCCATTCGTTCCATGATCCGTATTGAGCCGGAGTAGGTCCTTGAGACTTTTCCTGGGCATGGACATGCATGGAAAATGAATTGGTACTTCCTTGTCCGCGCTGCAATTCGAACATATATTATTTAGACAAAGCTCGGCATCAATCTATCTGGGAAACGTCGGCGTATCAAAGAGAACATTGCCATCAGTGTCGTCATACTGACCTTACTTCAAAGAGAACCCCTTCAAATAATTCAAATGTACGAATGTTTGCACACATGCATGTGTGGGTTTCAGTGTGGGTTTCAGTACATTTGACCCAAGTCACACATCGCCCAAGCACCAAGAACTCTTCTACAATGTCCATGGCTGGATATCTCTCATGGAGATCAATGAAAGTAGGCTATATACCTGTTTCTGATTTGACAGTCGTCCTATAGATTGGAAAAGTAACAAAAAATGGTTTCAGGATGGTTCAGGTCTTTTTGTTTCGGGGAATATGCTAGCATTCATAGTTCACAGTTGAATGGACAAAAAAAACCAACCAAAGCGGCCCCACGAATCCCCTGGGGAGCCACCTCCTGCGGCGCAGGACATTTCCGGTGCATCAAAGTCAGTCCTGGCGTGAGATCCCAGCCTGCGAGAGCATGGATGAGGTCATTTGGTTGTGTGACAGACATGTGTATGTTCGGTTGATCTGTTTTAACTGCCATTCACGATCATCCTTGGATCATGTTTCAAAGAGCTAAGTTGTGTGTTCTCACCTCCCCTTTGATGCATGATTGGAAAATCATGCTCACCGAACCGCCAACTCGGATAGCTCAGGCTAGCCATTTCCACGAGTGACCAGTATGCACGAAATCATTATGTAACATATTATAAAGTACCTGAGCTAAGAGTTGATACCCCGAAAGGACTGGTTTCAGCCCCTCAAATGATTGAAAAATAGACATCGCCAGGTCAGAGGATATGGGTAAACCCACTTCCTAGATTGTCAGGAGCGCATTGAATCCAAAATGAATGAGGGACTACAGTTCTATAACAAGTAAGCTCATTGTCTTGATTTACCTTAGTTCTAGATTCCCAAACACATATCAGTATATCAATGGATCCATATGATAAAGAAAAGTATGAAAGTCAAATAGCCGTGGGATATGAACGGTTTTAAAATAAAGATTCGATCAATTATTTCTGGGATACAGTGGCCACGTATCCAGACCATAAGAATAGATCTACGAAGCGGATTCTTCCGAAACCTCTTCCTCAGCTGAGACGTCATCGTCAGCTGGCTCTGCAGCCACCACTGGCTTGTCAACCTTGGATTGCCTTACCTTAGCGGGGCCCTTTGTCAGGTTCACCCGACGCTTTGCGTCACTGACATCCCGGGATACCATGTTGAACCAATCCTTCTGAAGGTCAACCCATTGATTGAACTCTTCAATTTCAACTGCCTCTATGTTCGTGCCAGCAAAGCGCTCAGCATCGCGCACGCGATTATCAAGATCATCCACATGCCCCTTCAGCGCAGAGACCTCATGTGATAGAAGTGATTTGGGTTGACGGTTGCCACATGTTACCACCCAGTGAATTTTTATGAATGTATCTGTAATATCACCAGGCATGATGCCTTATAACTTAAGCTGGGGTGCGAGTTCAGTGGAGTGCTGCACCCTATGCTGCGCCATGTCGCCGATCACAGCAGGCAAATCCTTCACCAATTTCTTCAGCCTTGGATTCCAGTGCGGGGAAAAACATATCATCTAAAAACAAAGTGCCGAAATCGCGGGTGTTGATGTGGAGTTTTTCTGTTAAATTGTTAGTTATTGTCCCGAAATCTTCATGACATATGTAGTTCGCTGGTCCATGTGTTTTTTGATCTTCCTGAAGGTTGACCCATGGGGATTATGTGAGTTATTGGGCCGTATGCCACCTATATGGATTATGTGAACCCCAATGCTTTTCGTAAAGGATGTAATCTCAACCTAGGGACTTCTTGTGCATAGCCTTTGCCTCATGTAAGCAAGCCTCTTCAGGAGTTTTTTCCTTTGGAACCTTCTTAGGCTTCTTAGTTTTAATTTCTCCCGTCTTCAAATCCATCAGCGGTGTGGCCTCTAGAGACTCCATCCCTTTCTTAAGTTTCTCAGCGATCGCCTTCTTGGCTTCAGCCGACCTCACACGGCCCCCAACCCGGGCCGTCGTTTCAGCTTCAGTCCTCTCACCTTTCTCTTCAAGCACATCCTTTAAAATCTTGAACATCCTTGCTTTCGGGTGCGACGACTGAGGATGGTCGATCCCCTGCTGGCCTGGCAAGCAATCTGAGGCGGTGGGGCTGCGACATGGTACATGTGGTTGTAACGCTGGAATGGGTTACTTAGGCAAACCATTCTCCACCAACAGAAAAACACAGCACCTTTGGTGATGTCAGCGATGAACTTCTGGGCTTCAGGATCTGAACCATATTTTTGCTCCAGCTGAAAAATGCTCATGGTGACATAGCGGTCTGTGCGATCATCCCGAAGAACTTTACGATATCGGTCTTCAACTTCTATGGAGTCCAAGGAGGAATTGACCAGCCATGTTTTCAGCATCGTAAATCTGTCAGGGTTTGATACTTGAAAACAGAAAGATGGTTGGTATCACATGTTGATTGTGATCTTTAAAATTGGACAGATTATACTTTAAACAAAACATGTTGCCATGGTAGTATATGATCATGATTTAATATATTTTCTGGAAGACCTTACCTCTCAGTATCGGAGCACAGTTCAAATTTTGAAGTCAGGGCGGGATTCGCGCTTGCCCTAATCGCTCTGCGAAGCGCAGAGTACTGTCTCTTGCGCTCATCGGGATCCATGTCTTGAGGGGACGACATAGTTGCTATCTGGTCTTTCTGCTCTTGGGTTAGCTGAGTCATCCTAGCTTTCCCCGTTGTAGCTTTCGGGTGTCTACTCGAAGTCGTTGTTGTGGTTGCAGGCTCACTCTCCTTTCAGGGAATTGGAAATGCCTCATTCAATTAAAACAAATTGCTTGATATTGCTCCCGTAAAGATTTTGATCTAACCATTCATTCCCAACCATCCCCGTAAAAAAAAACAAATAAATCCTGTGTGAGAAAGGTGGCATCCGTCTTAGTGGATGAACGCGGACTTCCAATATCAGACAAAGCTTGCATCATGTCAATGCTCGGCATGGTCAGGACCGTTTCGAAGGGCTTTTTTCCCAACTTTGCTTGGTTCTCCTGGGCAGTGACGGTGAGAATACGGAAGAATGGTTGATATGGACACCCCTGCAGGGAGATGGTAAGATACTATCCATTCCAAACCCTTCGATGTCGGATAGATCCAATGGGCTACAATAACCCCTCAAACGTTGATGTTTTGTAAGGGCTATTCATATTTCCAGCTGACATATCTCTAGGTCTCTCACCCAACCTGACCCCAACCTACCTTGGTAGCTTCACTTCCTGACGCATCTTCAGCATCATTTGCTCTTGTCTTCTTCTCTGCTCTCGCTGGGGATGCTGGCATCCTCCTCTTGTTGTCTTCTGCCTTCGAAACTTTGGGCTGTTTGTTCTGTCTTGTGTTTCCATCATTCGTGCCATCTCGCTCACGTTTCCTCTCAGAAACCTGTTCGTCTGGTTCATTGTCTTTCTTCTTGCTATCTGCTTTGCTGCTGGTGACGTTCGACTCTTCCTTACCTTCCTTCTTCTCCTCAGCAGTCTCATCCTTTTTCTGTGTCTTTGTGTCCTTGCTCTTCTTGGACTTGTCCTCTTCTTTGCCAATCTTCTTTGCCTTCTCTGCTGTCTTCTCTTCATCTCCATCTGTCTTCCTGGCCTTCTTCGTGGAAGATCCTTCGGTGGACGTCTCTTCGTCTTTCTTCTTGCTATCTGCTTTGCTGCTGGTGGCCTTCGACTCTTCCTTACCTTCCTTCTTCTCCTCAGCAGTCTCATCCTTTTTCTGTGTCTTTGTGTCCTTGCTCTTCTTGGACTTGTCCTCCTCTTTGCCAATCTTCTTTGCCTTCTCTGCTGTCTTTTCTTCATCTCCATCTGTCTTCCTGGCCTTCTTCGTGGAAGATCCTTCAGTGGACGTCTCTTCATCTTTCTTCTTGCTATCTGCTTTGCTGCTGGAGGCCTTCGACTCTTCCTTCTTCTCCTCATCAGTCTCAACCTTTTGCTGTTTCTTTGTGTCCTTGCTCTTCTTGGACTTGTCATCTTCTTTGCCAATCTTCTTTGCCTTCTCTGCTGTCTGCTCTTCATCTCCATCTGTCTTCTTGGCCTTCTTTGTGGAAGATCCTTCGGTGGACGTCTCTTCGCCTTTCTTCTTGCTATCTGCTTTGCTGCTGGTGGCCTTCGACTCTTCCTTACCTTCCTTCTTCTCCTCAGCAGTCTCATCCTTTTTCTGTGTCTTTGTGTCCTTGCTCTTCTTGGACTTGTCCTCCTCTTTGCCAATCCTCTTTGCCTTCTCTGCTGTCTTCTCTTCATCTCCATCTGTCTTCTTGGCCTTCTTCGTGGAAGATCCTTCGGTGGACGTCTCTTCGCCTTTCTTCTTGCTATCTGCTTTGCTGCTGGTGGCCTTCGACTCTTCCTTACCTTCCTTCTTCTCCTCAGCAGTCTCATCCTTTTTCTGTGTCTTTGTGTCCTTGCTCTTCTTGGACTTGTCCTCCTCTTTGCCAATCCTCTTTGCCTTCTCTGCTGTCTTCTCTTCATCTCCATCTGTCTTCCTGGCCTTCTTCGTGGAAGATCCTTCAGTGGACGTCTCTTCGTCTTTCTTCTTGCTATCTGCTTTGCTGCTGGTGGCCTTCGACTCTTCTTTCTTCTCCTCATCAGTCGCATTCTTTTTCTGTGTCTTTGTGTCCGTGCTCTTCTTGGACTTGTCATCTTCTTTGCCAGTCTTCTTTGCCTTCTCTGCTGTCTTCTCTTCATCTCCATCTGTCTTCTTGGCCTTCTTCGTGGAAGATCCTTCAGTGGACGTCTCTTCGTCTTTCTTCTTGCTATTTGCTTTGCTGCTGGTGGCCTTCGACTCTTCCTTCTTCTCCTCATCAGTCGCATCCTTTTTCTGTGTCTTTGTGTCCTTGCTCTTCTTGGACTTGTCCTCCTCTTTGCCAATCTTCTTTGCCTTCTCTGCTGTCTGCTCTTCATCTCCATCTGTCTTCCTGGCCTTTTTTGTGGAAGATCCTTCAGTGGACGTCTCTTCGCCTTTCTTCTTGCTATCTGCTTTGCTGCTAGTAGCCTTCGACTCTTCCTTCTTCTCCTCAGCAGTCTCATCCTTTTTCTGTGTCTTTGTGTCCTTGCTCTTCTTGGACTTGTCCTCTTCTTTGCTAGTCTTCTTTGCCTTCTCTGCTGTCTTCTCTTCATCTCCATCTGTCTTCTTGGCCTTCTTCGTGGAAGATCCTTCAGTGGACGTCTCTTCGTCTTTCTTTTTGCTATCTGCTTTGCTGCTGGTGGCCTTCGACTCTTCCTTCTTCTCCTCAGCAGTATCACCCTTTTGCTGTTTCTTTGTGCCCTTGCTCTTCTTGGATTTGTCCTCTTCTTTGCTGGTCTTCTTTGCCTTGTCAGTTCCACGAGTTTTGCATAAAGTGCAGGGTGGATTTTGTTGTGCTTGCTGGGTCTCTTCCTTCCTAACCCGACTGCCCCCCTTGCCTTCTCCAACGTAGCTTCCTGCCCTTTGTTTGCTCGTTTTACCTTCTCCGCCCCTGTGACCACAGATTCCATCTCTAAACCTGGAACTACCACTGACACCCTTTGCAACAGCAATTGGGCTCTCCCCAATCCTCCTACGCAGCAACGAGCCAAAAAGTGTCCTACGAGTGACTCGCAAGTGACACGCAGGTGACACGCAGGTGACACGCAGGTGACACGCAGGTGACACGCAGACACCAATCCCTAAGTGACCTTTTCGGGGCCTAAGTGACCTTTTTCGGGTCCTAAGTGACCTCTTTTGACCCCCCTCGATACCCAGTGACACGCAAGTGACACGCAAGTGACACGCAGGTGACACGCAGGTGACACGCAGGTGACACGCAGGTGACACGCAGTGACACGCAGAAATCATGTGATCAGCCAGGCCAAAAAGCGAGCCACCTAAGATCAGCCGGGCATCTCAGAATTCGGGTGTTTTTTCCTCCCAAGGCCAACAGCATCGATTTGGCTTCTATAAATGTCAAATTCGATTCATCATATTGTACATGTAGTGTGACCATGTATCACACTCCATTCGGCACACCCTCAGCAAACACCTATAGCCATCTGGCTTGCAGACTTGCAGCCAGCTAGTCGTCTTCACAGCGGCAGTCTTTAGAGGTCAGAAGTAGCTGTCGGTACGATTCCCTGTCAGGGTGGACCGATGAAATTTGGACTTACAGCCTTTGATAGATATTAGATATCTGAGAGATGCCTATTGAGGCCATACCCACTTGAAATGCAATGAGCTACCATTGGTACCCGTTGGTCAACAATCAGTGTTTTGGACAAAACCCCACTCATCAAGGAAGATCTTGAACTGCGTAGCCCAGCAGGAGGCACAAATGCGCTCTTCTGCAACATGCTCTAAGTAGTGCAGCCACTGCTCACGAGTGGCCGTAACACGCTTCTTCTGACATGTGTTATTTGTTTTTTCAGGCATGGCTCAAATGGCCAAGTGGCTAGCTAAAAGTGGCTTGGGTGAAAACAGCCTTGGGATTCGATTGAATTGAATGTCAAAGAACAATTGATCCATGGCCATTCTGGAAACTGTGACAGCTGTAGACTCACAGGGGGCCGAGGTTATCAAGTCTATGTGAGGTATACTGTCGAACCTATAGCCTTGATAATAAATAATCAAGTTTGGTTCCCCTTCAAGAAATGATCCTTTTGATTCTGGTTCGCAGCAGGAATTGGTAAGTGTAAAGGCCTCTTGTGGGTTCGGAGAAGCCCGCCAACTGTTTTTATCAACAACAAAGGGGGGTAACCCATATTGTAGCCCAAAGTATTGTTGATTCAATTTTTCAGGGGCTCATTCTGCCATCAGGAGTTTTCTCCAGGTGGCATTCCTCCTACCACCAACCCGAATTAGATCATCAATGGATTGATCATCATCTTCATCAGGGTCAGCTTCCCCAATGTCGAGGTCCTGAACCAGGGCGAGGGCTATAAGTACCATGAATTATGGTTGATCGATCGGTGTTGATTCCATCCAAACATGTTGAAATAACCAGCTGATTTTTTTAGGTACTGATCGAGGTGTGAATTGCCCTTTTACAGCCTAGCTACTGATTGCAACTGAGTTGTAAAGACATGTAAAATGTTCAAACCATCATGCACCAACTTTTACCCAACCCTGTCCAAACTTTGAGCAGGGGATCCCTTTGGTTGGATAAACCCAGCGAGCGCAAACCCAAAACCAGGAGGATAGGATGCAGACTCCCGAAGCGCACCCCTAATCCCAGTTACTTGCTGCTTGCCGCTCTTCGAGATAGTCTTCTTCACTAACGGCGTCCCCTTCTGGGTCCTGACGAATGAGTGCATGTGATAGCCATGAGCAAATCATGGAAACACAAACTCTTAACGAATTGTAGATAGCTTCAATCGAGTCACAGTCTTTCGGGGCAAAACCAACTTTCGGATAAAGGATAAAAGTTTCAGAAAAGACTATGTTGGGTCCATGTGTAAAGGTTGTCCTCAGTTCAGATAGAAGATTCCAAGTAGTCAAAACCAATACCCAAACCCTAATATTGTCAATAGGTTCGTTGACCGTGGGTTCAAGGCTATATGCGTGGCAGGTGAATTTTCCTGAAAATTCAAAGGCCCAACTGGGGTTGTGTAATGTTACCCCTTTATCCCTGTATACTACACATTTATGTATCATTCTTGGTTTCTGGTTTGAACCATAGTCGTCTCCCATCCCAAACTCTAAGATCCTGATTACTGGGTCCCATAATCCCATATAATTTTGTTTGGAAGGGTTGAAACCCCAACCCAAAACCGCAACCCAGCTGGAAAGAAATACAAAAAAATCAAGTGGTATTGGAATTGGTTCCCCATATCCTATGTTAAACCTTTCACTTGGTGGCTTTCCTGCCCGAGGAGTGCACCTTTCGAGAGCCTCCTTGATCTGCTTCACTGAGACAGGACGGCGCAATCGCCAGATGTTTTCGATAGTACCCCAAATCCTCGGGAATTATCCGATGCAGGCTGGGTGATGCAAGTGTTTACCGGAAAAGTGGTGGCTCCCACCAGTACCAATTAATACCGATGTTCCATTTCTTTAACTAAGCAAAAGATTAAAGTTGGACTGGGCAGGCGTACCAAAAAGAAAGAAAATACATAAAATGTACCCGAATGATACAAGAAACACTGTCATTTTGATGCTGGGGCTCCCATAGGATCCCATAGGAAATGCAACTCTCCGTGCACCAGTGAATTGCAGAAACTGTCTCATGGGTCGAAAATACCACAGGACCTCATTTTCCACCGACATGACCAAGCGGACACATGACTGTTTGAAAATTTTGTATGGCAATGCAACCAGAGTTTTTTCAACAATAGGCTGAACAAACAATGTCGATGTTGCAGCGAAGTCTCCGAGCTCACTGGCTGCTCAATGAGGAACTTGCACCCCCGCTTGTGGGCAAAGTACAATCTCAGACCCAACATGGTCATTGGCAAATCAAAAATGAAATATATGAACCAAAGGGTGTGTACAGTAAACCTTAACCCATCAAATTGTTACATGTCAAACCTTGTAGGTAAACAACAGTTCATATGCCATACGACTTGGCAAGTAACATATATAGAAGACGTCGAATGAAAATGTTGGCAAGCTCGACAGCACGACAGCCGTTTCCATCTGGGTTACTCCATGAGCGGCCAGTTTGGGATCTCGACCTCGGTTTCAACCGGTTTCAACTAACCCTTCAGGACCCAGGGTCCCCAGTATGATGTACCCCTTGGATGCCCAGTGTTGGGGAAAACCATTACCAATGATTCCATATTGTGGACAGGTTCGTCTCAAATATGTGTTGATATGTGTTGATCTATGACCGAAATCATGCCACCAAGTTACAAGAATATCCAGCTGGCACACGGTGGCCCAACCAGGACCAGTCCTCCTGGTCGTAAGTTTCTGACCTAGTTCGGCCGGGATTGGGGAAATAGGGCAAAGGCTTCGTAAGTCATGAGCCTTTCTGACCTTTGTGTTTACACCCCCATTCGTCCGAACCCATCGAACACTTGCAGATAAGGAGCTGCCATCAACATTGTTAAAAATCCAACCGTGCGTAGCAAGTCGTGGTTTCGCGAGTACATCACCTGAGCTAGTACTGGACCAGGTTGGATAACCTACCAAATACCACATCCCACTATATCCAACTATAGTACATCCCACTATATTCAACTATACATCCTAACTTGATTTTATTTGGGAAGACTGGAGACTTCCTTGCGTATACCTCCAGACAAGGCACATCATACTCCTTGCCAGAAAAACCACTTTGTCGGAGAGCGCAGGAGACTCGTGCGTCACCAGCGCAAATCTCCACCTTGGGCTCAGCAGTGCGGCGCTGAGGTCTGAGGTGATCACCTGGGGTAATTCATGTGCTTTCTACGTTTGTTCCGAAGTGCTCGTCAAAGATTTTGAATCTGGGGTGAGGGGATTGTGAAACATCGATGTGACATGTGGTCTGAACCAGCATAATAGTTGGGGTTCTGTATCCACTACCAACAAATTCAACCACTGTGGGGAAAACTGGCGTATGTTATATCATGTTATAGCCGTTAAAGCCCAAAACCAATTTAAAAATGATAACGCTTCATTGCGAAAACTGTATCTATTGTTGGATCATTTCACAAGTGTGGATTGATATACCCATATTCCCGTACCCACACATAAGCTTAGCCACGAAATCATTCGGAGTATTTGATGGAGGGATCTGAGCTATGAATGCCAGAACCGGCAGCAAGTGAGTTGCCCTCATGGCTGCTGGAATGCCAGTACCAGATCCTTTTGTCTAAGCCAAGCTGCATACACGAGTTCACCTCAACCGCTTTTCGAATCCCACTGTTTTCTGTGAAAATTGCGTTCCAACCCAATTAAACCCATTGGACAAGAACACTATTTCGAATAGTTCCCATTGCAGCTGATCACTTCTAGTTATAATGTCTCAGTTATCTCTTTTCAATCACCATGCCCAGCTGCAAAGTCAGGTTGTAGGTAGTGAATGTCGCAACGCACATGTGGCGCTGTTCGCCCCGAAGACAGCAACAGTTATCAAATCAAATGTAAATCACAGCTTGCCTCAACTGACATCATATCTCACACTGTTGCCCATGTCGCACCCACGCTCCCATTATGGAAGCTGAACCTAAAAACGCAAAAGTAGGCCAGTGGAAACATCACAAGAAAATTCCCATTATCCTAGCTAATGTTTTCCATCATATGTAAACACATTACACATGGTACTATCAAAATCTAGGCCTTCTTTTGCCTTTTCCTGCCCTTTCCCTTCTTCTCATCGGGGCCATCATCATTTGGGCCACCCCCATCACCGCTACCATGTGTTTCTTCACCCTTAAAGCCGGCATCCTTAGCCTTCTTGAGGGAGTAGTATTTTGTGCCATTGGGACTGGTCCAAACTTTGTACAAACTTCCACATAGCTTTCCCGATTTTCTCTTTCGGGTTTGCACTTCCCAGTTGTCCTGCCGGGTCGTCTGCACAATTTCATATTTCCTTAGATTCTGATATGGGAGGCTTCAGGACAAAACAAGGTCGATCAGCTGAAATCGTAAATACTTTGGAACAAACATATAAGAAAAATGCTACAGTTCCAAAGTAAGTATCATGCGCTGTTTCTTTCCCTGCTTTGCACGCAGTAATTGTAGTTGTTCTTCTGGGGTTGGAATCCTTTGATTGCTTTACTGAGTGCAAGTTGCTGCAACTTCCCGATGGCTACTGTAAATGCATTCACTGTGAAGTCCTCCGTTGTGACCTTCTTAACCGTGGTCGGTCCTTTTGACTTCTTTCCCTGCCATGTGGAAATCTATTCCCACCACTCTCCATTACAAAAAACATGCAAACACGGTGCCCAAATGTTCACCTTCTCGCTGGTCTTGTCGGTCTCGTCACCCGGGTCGTTCTTCTTAGCCACTGGACTTCCTTAAGTGGCAGTGGCATAGGCACGGTTTCTTTGGAATTTCGAAGGTGTTCCTTGACAAGTTTTATGCCACTACCTAAAACAATGGGGTTCGATTTGCACTGGGTGAAACTCAGTCACTTGCGCATGAGTGCGTATTAGGGTCGAAATGACTTCACTCTTCTGCGGTGCTTTGGGACAACCATTTCCCTGTCTCCTTCCTCACCTTTCCCATCCTCACCTTTCTTCACTTCAACTTTCGCATCCTCACCTTTCTTCACTTCAACTTTCGCATCCTCACCTTTCTTCACTTCAACTTCGTCTTCCTCTCCCAGATGGGCGGTCAACCATTCCAAAATTTCTGTTTGCCGTCCATTTCTCCACATCGGAAGAGCTTTCTGCAGAGTCATGCGACTTTTTGGAAATCTAGAACCTGGTGTCATCCATCTTCTTATGTTTGTTTTTGGAAATTCCTCTCTAACAACCCACCCTTTCTCACCCACCTCTGCCTTTGCTGGCTTGTCCCCGCTGCTGCTCGACGACGATGAACTGGACGATGAGGACGTGGCCGACGATGAACTGGAAGATGATGCTGCGGGGGATGGTTTCCTCGCCCGGGCCTTCTTCTTGGGATTTGCTGCCTTCTTGGTACATGGCCGCTTTTTCACCTGGTTTTTCTTCTGGTGAGGCTCAGGTGTTGCATTGCTTGATGATGCCATGCGTGTAGCTACTTCATGGTCTGTCATGCCGTGAGTCGACCATCCCAGAGCTGCTGCAGAAGGTCTCTGAAAGACAGGTGTGTTTTTGTTGACCATGTCATCATCTTTTTCTCCCTTCTCACCCTCTTCTGACTCCTCCTCTGCAGTCTTGTCTCCATCTTCCGGGTTGCTCTTCGCATCCTCCTCATCGCTGACCTTCTTCGAGTCTTTCTTTCCTTCACCTTCGCTCCTCTCACCTTCTTCTGACTCCTCCTCTGCAGTCTTGTCTCCATCTTCTGGGTTGCTCTTTGCATCCTCCTCATCGCTGACCTTCTTCGAGTCTTTCTTTCCTTCACCTTCGCTCTTCTCACCTTCTTCTGACTCCTCCTCTTCACTCTTGTCTCCATCTTCTGGGTTGCTCTTCGCATCCTCCTCATCGCTGACCTTCTTCGAGTCTTTCTTTTCTTCACCTTCGCTCCTCTCACCTTCTTCTGACTCCTCCTCTGCAGTCTTGTCTCCATCTTCTGGGTTGCTCTTTGCATCCTCCTCATCGCTGACCTTCTTCGAGTCTTTCTTTCCTTCACCTTCGCTCTTCTCACCTTCTTCTGACTCCTCCTCTTCACTCTTGTCTCCATCTTCTGGGTTGCTCTTCGCATCCTCCTCATCGCTGACCTTCTTCGAGTCTTTCTTTTCTTCACCTTCGCTCCTCTCACCTTCTTCTGACTCCTCCTCTGCAGTCTTGTCTCCATCTTCTGGGTTGCTCTTTGCATCCTCCTCATCGCTGACCTTCTTCGAGTCTTTCTTTTCTTCACCTTCACTCTTCTCACCTTCTTCTGACTCCTCCTCTTCGCTGTTGTCTTCATCTTCTCGGTTGTTCTGCGCATCCTCCTCATCGCTGACCTTCTTCGAGTCTTTCTTTCCTTCACCTTCGCTCCTCTCACCTTCTTCTGACTCCTCCTCTTCACTCTTGTCTCCATCTTCGGGGTTGCTCTTCGCATCCTCCTCATCGGTGACCTTAATCGAGTCTTTCTTTCCTTCACCTTCGCTCCTCTCACCTTCTTCTGACTCCTCCTCTTCACTCGTGTCTCCATCTTCCGGGTTGCTCTTCGCATCCTCCTCATCAGTGACCTTCTTCGAGTCTTTCTTTTCTTCACCTTCACTCCTCTCACCTTCTTCTGACTCCTCCTCTGCAGTCTTGTCTCCATCTTCCGGGTTGCTCTTCGCACCCTCGTCATCAGTGACATTCTTTGGGTCTTTCTCTTCTTCACCTTCGCTCTTCTCACCTTCTTCTGACTCCTCCTCTTCACTCTTGTCTCCATCTTCTGGGTTGCTCTTCGCATCCTCCTCATCGCTGACCTCCTTCGAGTCTTTCTTTTCTTCACCTTCGCTCTTCTCACCTTGTTCCTCCTCCTCTTCACTCTTGTCTCCATCTTCGGGGTTGCTCTTCGCATCCTCCTCATCGGTGACCTTCTTCGAGTCTTTCTTTTCTTCACCTTCGCTCCTCTCACCTTCTTCTGACTCCTCCTCTTCACTTGTGTCTCCATCTTCGGGGTTGCTCTTCGCATCCTGCTCATCGGTGACCTTCTTCGAGTCTTTCTTTTCTTCACCTTCGCTCTCCTCGCCCTCTTCTGACTCCTCCTCTGCAGTCTTGTCTCCATCTTCCGGGTTGCTCTTTGCATCCTCCTCATCGCTGACCTTCTTCGAGTCTTTCTTTCCTTCACCTTCGCTCTTCTCACCTTCTTCTGACTCCTCCTCTTCACTCTTGTCTCCATCTTCTGGGTTGCTCTTCGCATCCTCCTCATCCGTGACCTTCTTCGAGTCTTTCTTTTCTTCACCTCCACTCTTCTCACCTTCTTCAGACTCGTCCTCTTCACTGTCGTCTCCCTCTTTTGGGTTCTTCAGTTCCTTGTCATCGGTGCCCTTCTTCGAATCTTTCTTTTTTTCACCTTCGCTCTTCTCACCTTCTTCTGACTCCTCCTCTGCAGTCTTGTCTCCATCTTCTGGGTTGCTCTTCGCATCTTCCTCATCAGTGACATTCTTTGAGGCTTTCTTTTCTTCACCTTCGCTCTTCTCACCTTCTTCTGACTCCTCCTCTTCACTTCCATCTTCATCTTTATCTTTTGGGCTGACCTTCACATGATGGTCTTTTGCACCCTTATCGTTGACATTCTTGGCTTCTTTCTTTTCTTTTTCGTCTTCGCTCTTCTCACCCTCTTCAGACTCGTCCTCCTCGTTGTCAGGTTGTTCATCATCGTGCTCATTGAACTTTTCCAAAAGGCAAACTGGTTGAGGGCCTTCTTGAACACCTTTGGAAGTTCCAGTGCCCCCTACATCATTCTCGTCCTCTGGCTCCTCCGCTTCTGAATCTTCCTCACGCTCAGTCTTTTCCAGTTCCACCTGTAGGCAAGAAGGATGGTTGAACTAGAGCATTCTTTTTTGAAATGAAATTGCTGAAATCTTTCGATTCGCCACCTGGTGCTTTCCTATGCTGTCATGTGGTGTAATGAAACTATGATACTGACAAACTTTTTGGATTGCACCTGAACACCCCAGCCCCTAACCTCTTCGTCATAAGTTTCTGGTTCAGATTCACTTGCTTCTGGAGCCGCAGAGGCAGAGTCTTCAGGCAAAGATCCACTGGCTTTCCTCATAAGAAAATGGATGACGCAAAGAATTGGGGTCCCTCTTCAAACTGAGCTGGTTTGACAAGTACAGGGACAAATTGAATATCAAATGAGTTTCATTTCATCATCGCACAGCCCAAGTTCTGGAACGGTCATAGCTTGAGTCTCAGCATTATCCACCAAGGACCTTAGTAATTGGTACACTGGTTTTATTAATTCAACGTTGACAACAACAAAATCAGATGAAACGTATTTTAAACATGGTAACACGGATTTACACAACCGTGTGTTTTTGACATCCATGTGCCAAAACGCCTCACGTTTTGTCATTTTTTCAGTGACCAATTTCTACATCAGACGACGAAAAGTTTCAAGAGCCTTTCTTTTTATCTCGCATGTGGTCGTCATATCTCACTTAGACATGTTGCGGCGATAGATCCACTGATAGATTCTATCCCAGAATCTAGCATTGATGTTGGGGCAGTGCGGTTCTTCATCTGACTGGGGCAAAATTTTTGATATTTTTGAGGTGGTCCCAACAAGGATCAGTTTGTTGGGTTCCTGCAACTTGCGTGTTTGTGCAAGCGTGCAAGAACGTTACATCAACGTAGCATGACGTAGTTCCGCAAGCGTGCAAACGAGCGTGCAACGTAGCACTGCGTAGATGTGCAAGCGTGCAAGAACGTTACATCAATGTAGCACTGCGTAGATGTGCAAGCGTGCAAGAACGTTACATCAAGGTAGCACTGCGTGGATGTGCAAGCGTGCAAGAACGTTACATTAATGTAACACTGCCTAGATGTGCAAGCGTGCAAGAACGTTACATCAATTTACATCAATGTAGCACTGCGTAGATGTGCAAGCGCGCAAGAACGTTACATCAACGTAGCACTGCGTAGATGTGCAAGCGTGCAAGAACGTTACATCAACGTAGCATGACGTGGTTCCGCAAGCGTACATGGACGTTATTAGCCCACCCCACCCCACCCCACCCCACCCCACCTCACCGCACCCCACCCCACCCCACCCCCACCCCCTCACCTGTACTATCCATGTGCGGTGACAACAAAAATCTCAACGCCTACACGGTTGTAGAAATACGTGTCACCTTAAACATGCATGGTACGCCAGGCAAGAAACCCAGATCTTTTGGACCTTCTGCTGCCGAGGGATGAGTTGGACCCCGGCCGAAACCCCACCTTTTTGTGTCGAAGGACAACACGGTGGCACCTTGCAGCCTAAGCAAACATCTAACAGCAACCAGGAAAACATATATTGGAAATTTAAAATCCACAACGCGCAAACGAAAAAGTATGTAAATCGTACAACTCAACTCATATGTGATGGGTCTCCTGTTCTCGAATCCATTGACCACGCTGGTCACCATCCATACCAGCACCTGAAACTGTTTTCAATTCGGACCAGTGAAATCACCACTGATTTTAGGGATACAGTCATACCATTGAAACATGAGACATACTATGAAATCAATAATGAGATTCACCAGGGCACAAAATTCGTGCTTGCCTTCAATCATCTTGATGATTCTTCTAAACTCTGTTTCCCGCGGCACACGTTTAGCAGAAGACTTCTTGAACGCATCCCGAAGCCATCGGTTACCCCGTTGGCGGATATCGCCCCCCGGTACCAGAGTCCTTTCCTCACGGATAGTCTTCACGTCCATCTCCTGCAGCATATGCCTTCGAAGTGACCTGAGATATGGAGATTTGTTTGTACGTAACCCATGGGACAGAGCTCATGGAAACAAAACTCAAGATGTCGATCAGGCCATATTATACACCTTGCGTGTTATATATTTTACATACTTGATATTTGTAGGCTACCCTTGGGAAATCAAATGTATATATTCTATGTTCAGCGATGGCCACCAAGTAGCCTTCCATGCTTGGAGAGCTGTTTGATTTTCGCACGGGGAGATTTTGCCATTGCGACAACTAGCAAGACGCGTTGAGCAGGAAAAAGCAAAAAAATGCATTGAACCAAGCTGACATGTGTTTAACACACATGGACGTAAGTCAACTGGTGGCTTGCTGATGATTTTCGGTGTCTTAAGATGCATGTCATCCATCACCATCCACCACCATCTAAATACCGGCCCTCCACACCCATTGAGCCCCTCAGGTGCTGGTGGCGGCTGGGCAAATTGAATCGGAACCCCAGTGGCCAGCAAAGAGGTCACTTTAAGGATTTCGTGAAAAGAGGTCACTTATGCATCATTGATCTTTGTAAGTGGCCTTTTTGCATTTTGGGTCTAAGCGGCTTCCATTGGAGGGCAGATGTAACTGCCTGGTATATATATATATATATGTACATATATGGCAGTGTGTCAAAACCTTGTACCCCTGGTGAACATCAAAATAGCTGGCAAATGGATGTTCATTCCCCTAAAAATGGTATTGATAGGTATTGATCCATACCCATATATATATATATATACAATGGGGGGTTCACCAACAATAACACGGGGTCCATCGACTGATGATGTCGTGAAAGGGGAAAAAATAACTTTTGGACCGGTTTGGGCAAAAGAATCTGCCAACACGTACCTGGAATGATTGAAAAAATGGGAGGTGAAACCAATCCTTTTAAGTCAACCCACCAGTAGGAGCTTTCTGATATCTACAGTAACTATGGGTCCCATGGGGCCCATGGGGCCCATGGGGCCCATGGGGCACCTTGGGCATATGGCCACGCGTGGCAAGCCTCGGAGATTTCAATGGAGAATCAACACAGCTGGGTGCAACTTCGGCTGTGTGACCTGAGGTTTCCTACAATGGGGGTACCCCAATAGCTGGATGGTTTACAATGGAAAATCCGATTAAAATTGATGATTTGGGGGTACAGTACCCTCATTTTAGGAACCTCCATATTCATGATGCATGTGAAGGAATTGCATCAATTGATCATACTTTCGTTCGTCACATTCAATTCTAACACCATATTTCTTTGGACACCAAGGCAGCTTGGCAGTTTTCGAACGCCGAGCAACTCCACGAAGTAATAGTAGGGTTTCAGAGCCTTCAGATACGCATTGAGCTCCTGGCCAGTCACCCGATGAGTTGGCCAAGCCGGTGAGGGAGCCATCCGAGGAAATATTGGGACTATCGTCCCAGTCGTGGGGTCAAAAACACACAATGTTTCAAACAACCAAAAAAAAATAGAAATAATGGTTGGTTGATGATTATAGAGGGTCCAGTCATTGGGTCAGTCCGGTGAGAGAACCCAAAAAAACAGTCCTGGGGAACGCTTGAAAGGATTCCTTTGAGAAGTGAAAAGATCCAGAATTGCCATGGTTTTCTCAACCCCCCAACGTTTGGGGTGTTAAGATGTGTTTCGAGTGGTTTTGCAGAGCACATCTCAGCTTCCCTGTCCTGCAATGGAATGGCCAAGCCTCAGATGAAACTCATGGGTCCAGAAAATGGTCCAGTCATGGAGGTGTCCATCCAGTCATGGGAGTACCCCCCAAATCAATGGGAGATCTTCAGGATCCTAAAATGGAGGTACTGTACCATATAAGGCCATATTTTCTGGGGATATTCCCTTACATAGGCCTTATATAGATTTTCTGGGGATATTCCCTTACATAGGCCTTATATAGATTTTCTGGGGATATTCCCTTACATAGGCCTAAAAAATAGACATTATATATGGTAGGTACCTCCAATTTAGGTTCCTGAAATGGCCATTGACCAAATCATCCAGTCATGGATGACCATATTCGTATTGAAACCCATGGTGACGACTGGGGATCCCCCATGACTTAAGAAACCCCTACCCTCTGAGCCAGAATCCATGACATTTTGGATGCTGCGCAGTTTCCAACCACAGCCCACCAGGATTTGACCCATCATCTAGGCATGTGCCACAACAAATGCACACCCGAACTGGGGGCATTTGAATTGCGCCCCAAAAAGATATCGTAGCGGAAATGTCAGGATCCTAAAATGGAGGTACTGTACCATAGTTTTGGCTAGGCGGCTAGGCTATATTTTGTGCGGATATTACATAGGCCTTACACATGGTCGGTACCTCCAATTTAGGTACCTGTCATGGCCATTGATTTTGAATCAGCGGTGTCCTGGGGAATATGTTCAGGGCTGGTGTGATTTAAAAAATGGGAGGTCAAGCATTTTGTGAATCCCTTCCCCCTAAGTATAAGCCCAACATATTAGTATATTAGGCACCATTGAAAATATCTCAACCATTATCCCTTTATACTGCAATTCAGCAGTGTTCAAAACCTGCATTGGTTAATTCATGATGAGTTCGGGGACCAACCTTTACAAATTGGGGATTGTAACAATTGGGATTATACTAAATCCATTAGTTTGGGGATTCTACTAAGAGTCAATTAATTAGTATATTAGGGATACTAATCCATTTTGGGGGAGTGTACTAAATCCATTTAATAACCAGCTATTCTATTTATATTGGGAATATTTGTAGTTACTGAGAATTACTGAGGCGTCTTGAGAACCCGTGAAAATCCTTTACGACTGTTAGAATTTAGCTAGATTATACCAAAACCGTTAGTTTGGGGGGTTCTACTAACAACCCATTAATTAATATTCAATGGATTGGTTTTCAAGGGAAAATCTTAACGGGAAACCATTGATTTTCCCATTGAATCCATTAAGACCATGGTGTTTTCCTCTATTTTTTCCCTTAAACCAATCCATTGATAGTTCACTTTAGTTATAGCTATCAGTATCCATAGTACATAAAGCTACTAGTTAACTATAACTATCTGTAATCATAGTAACAATAATAGGAACACCATCATTGTTTTGATGACCATAGGGTACCCTCTGGTAAACATACAAAAAACTATGGAAAATCACCATTGTTAATGGGAAAATCCACTATTTCTATGGCCATTCTCAATAGCTTTTTGTATGTTTACCAGAGGCTAATCATCCATTAAATCCCATGAAACCACCATTTTCCTATGGTTTTCCTATAGTTTTCCCATGGTACCTCCACCAGCCAACTACAACCCGGGGGAATCCCCATCTCCACCAAGGCCTTTTTTCAAGGCCTGCTTCCGAGCAGCACATGCGAAGGGCCAGCGCCATGGAGTTGGAGAGGGAGTTGTCCTTAGCCATCGATACACCTTTTTTTAATGTGAGATATGAATATGATACGCATATTAAGTGCGTACATATATATATATACATGTAATATCATATATAATTTATATAATCATATAATATGTATATATATATAATGTATATATGGAAATGTGATAGGATTAATTAACATGAATTAGCATCTCCGAATGCTCGCAAAGTTGGGGATATCCAACGAGCTGACCCCAAAGTGGCTGTGGAAAATTGATGTTTTCACCGAGGACTGGGCGCTATAGAGCTCAAAGACGCCGAAGTTGGTGTAGTTCCTCGGCGGCTCGGCTGATGCAAAAGGTGTAGCCTACGATTACTGTGGCTTTCAATGGATTGGTTTTCAAGGGAAAATCTTAACCGGAAACCATAGATTTTCCCATTAAGATCATGGGGCTTTCCGGTTAAAATTTTCCCTTAAACCAATCCATTGAGGCTTAGGGTCAGGTCATAGATTTCCATATGGCTTAGTTCATAGTGCCGAAAATAAACCCAGGTAAAACATGTAAAACTCTGGGGCAAAATCAACTCGGCATTTTTCATGGCAATGTCTTTTGCTCCTGACCCCCTTTGGGGTGGTCCCTTCAGCATCCAGCTGTGTCACACTCAGTTTTATGACGAAGACTCTCTCAAAAAACGAAGGCTTATCACACAAAACTATATCTGGTTGGTGGTTTTAACATGTTTTAACCATCTTGAAAAATATGAGTTCGTCAATGGGAAGGATGACATCCCATATATGAAATGGAAAATAATCCATTCATGTTCCAAAGCACCAGCTGTGTCAAGCCCTGGAACTTGCTGCATCCAGCAGCTGAGTTCTTGGCCGCCACAGCCCAATCACATGTTAGAAAATAGCTGAGTTCTACACCCGTGGAGCGCATGAGAGAACATGTCGAGGCCTCAGATTGTTGGTGCAGTCCGGGAAAAACCTCAAACTAGTTAAACGAGTTGTGCTCCAAAACTAATAAACCACCATGTGGTCATCTTGAAACTCGAAAATGGATGAAAATGGATGAAAATGCAGGTGAAAGGAGTTATTCGGGATGGATGGTGGAGTCGGATTCGATGGGATTCTGCGAGAGTTCATGATGTTTTTGGTCACCTGGGTCTGAAAAATAAGGTACCTCCAAATCCAATGGCTGATCATTCTCTTCCACAATAGCCATGGCTATTGGGGATATAACATGATATAACCCCCATTTTCAGACACACCCAATATGAGTAGTGGTTATCCATCCCATTCATTCCCATTCTATAACCAAATTGTGTTGGTGAAATCCCCCATATTTTGGTGAAAAGCCTCAGAGTTGATCCAAGTTGAGGCCCCGAACAGACCCCAATGCCTTTGTACTTCTCCACATAGACGTCACGGAACCTTGCAGCCACGCATGAAGCTTCAAACTTGGGGTATCGAACTCAACACCAACCCCATGATCCCAAAAAGGGATGGCAATGGGGATCCCACTGCGTGCGCTGCAGGATTCTGGTACCATAGGTCACCAGAATGGCGGAGGCTTCTCTGAAAAGAAGAATGCCTCAGCAGCGATTTGGGGGTTGATGGCCTCAATTCGAAGGAAAATTGTGATGTAGTTTCGGGGCAAATCTGCAAGAACCCCCTCTATTTTGGAGCTTAAAAAAAAGCTGGTGTCCTCTAGATTTTCGCTTAAACCAACCCAATGATAGCTGGGATCACGCCATGGCTGCCATGATTCATGGTTCCATTTGGTATTTGGACGAGTTTTAGATTCGCAATTGAAGTGGAAACGCCCAAATAGGTGGAAACAAAGACTACCCTCTGGTAATTTAACGTAGCTATTGAAAATGACCATTAATAGTGGATTTTCCCATTAAAAATGGTGATTTTCAATAGCTATGTTAAATTACCAGAGGGTACTTCAACCACCAACTGGCCCAGGCCCAAGCACGTGCTTTGGGGAAAAAACGATCGGTTTGGCATATCATTTCCCATCGTTTCCCATCGTTTCCTTCCCTGCAAATTCTCTCAAAAGTGCCATGGTCTATGTGGGGCTGATCATCCCACCATCCAAAAGGTAAAATTCTACAAAAAGTATCCAAAAGTGGGATTCTAGCCAAGCCCCCTTTATTACCCTCTGGTGAACTAACAGTTTGCAATGGAAAATCACCACTTTTAATGGGAAAATCCACTATAAATGGCCATTTTCAATAGCAAACTGTTAGTTCACCAGAGGGTATCTCATGGATTGCCATCCCTGACTTTTTGGACAGCCTTGACTTCACGGGATGACCAGCTCGAGCTTCCAGCCGTTGGGCGAGGACTGGTCGAAGGTGATTCGCTGAGCCTGGGATGGGAGAAAGTCCTCATCCCTGGCCAGATTCGAAGTAGAGAAATGAGGGAATTCGATCAATCCCAGATGAATGGCTGGATACCAAACAAGAACCAACCAATATGATCTGTTTGGTCATTTGGATTTATCCAAACAGATCTTGAAAACTAAAAATAAGTTCAAGCTCATCAACCAGCCGGGTTCGGCCGCACCTTGTTGTGGACGAATTCAGCCATGAACTTCAACAAAGGCGTTGTCACCTGCAGCAAACACTGCTGGAGGTGACCTCGCCTCAAAAATCAAACCTCCGACCTCCAATCTGTATGAAAAAAATAACATGGATTGACTTGTCCTTCGTAGTCGGATTACTCTCTGGTAATTTAACACGTGTTTGAAATCCCTTGAAACAGGTATTTCAGTTTTACCAGTTTTACCCATCAAAAGTGATGGTTTTTCATCGCAAACTCTTGTTTTTACCCATGAAAATGATGGTTTACCCTCTGGTAAACGTACAAATAACTATGGAAAATCACCATTTTTTATGGGAAAACTCACTATAAATGGTCATTTTCAATAGCTATTTTGACATAACCAGCGGGTACCAGTGGATGGGGACCCTCCCATGCCTCTGGATCATCCCACCAGGCATCCAGCGCTCGAGAGAAGAGATTCACCTCACTGGAGTGGTTTTCACGGGAAAATCTAAAAACCGGAAACCATGGGAAAATTACCATCAAATTGAATTAGGGTTTTCCGGTGAAAATTGTCCCATCATCCAATTCTATGAATGGTGATGGATGGTGTATATAACGTCTTTAGTGACATCTATTGTGTAGATATATACACCATCCACCATCCATGATTTTAGGACACCCCACGTGGATGGTGATGGTGTAAACCGAAGATTGCCAGGTGAACTTAAAGCCAAAAGATCATGCCAACTATGCCAAGTCCTGATGCTGAGGAGCCTGGTAAATCATCCCCAATGACCCGGAAAAGGGTTGCACTATCCATATGGGTCAACATTAGATGCTCTTAAAATTGGGTACTAAAAATCCTCGCCATCGTCGTGGTGGTCTGAGCCTTAAATATTGATCTCCCATATCTATCCATCCAAAATTGGAGCTTGGCATTGGCATAAAACCATTCCTGGGCTCCCAAAAAGGTCATCGTGGCCATGATTATTCATAGCTGGCTGGAAATCATCATCACGTGGTGAAGGGAAGCGATTGTAGCTCCTTGGCTCCCATTTACCCTCTGGTTATTTAACATAGCCATGGTATAGATGGTTCATTTATAGATGGTTTACAGTACCTATTAAAAATGGTGATTTTCCATGGCTATGTCCAGAGGGTAAATGGTGGAACTATGGTGAGCCTCCAGAGCTCGGCTCCATTCGAGAACATCACCGGTGAGATATCGATTCGGGATGATCTTCGAAAACATCCTCCAAAAAATGGGCCGTGGGAAAAAAACGGATGGTGAATTACTCAGTCCCCAAGGGGACGCTCATCGACCCATCAACCCTATCTGGATTCATATCAGATCATACTATAATATTATTTATAATTATATGGGATGGATGACCATTGCTATAACCATATGCTCCATGGTGCTGGAATATTTACCAAAACTGGGTCACATTTGGGGGGTAAATGTTGGATCATGAGTTTTGACCATGGCATCAGCCCAGGCACTCGATTGATCGAGGGGTTCTTGGGGTTGTCCACCAGCCAATCAAAGAGCATCGAGTATGGCCTCAAATCCGCGGACGGAGGGCGCAGCACTTCGGGGGAAGTCAAAGGTCCAAAACTCAAATTATCAGTGGGAAAATGTGATGCTAAATGATCAATGATGTAAAAATCATGGTTACTTATATACATATATATGATATGATATGATATATATATATATATATATGTATGTATATGTGTGTGTGTGTGTGTGATATATATATATATATGTATATGATATATATATATATATATCATATATATATATATATATGATATATATATTTATATATATCATATATATATCATATATATATATATATATCATATATATATATCATATATATATATATATCATATATATATATCATATATATATATATATATCATATATATATATATCATATATATATATCATATATATATATATGTATCATATATATATATATATCATATATATATATCATATATATATATATATCATATATATATCATATATATATATCATATATATATATCATATATATATATCATATATATATAACTCATATGATGTTCCACTGACAGTCATTGAAATCATGAAATGATCCACTTAGCCATCTATCATCCATGAAATATTCCGATGATCCATTCGACCTGGAGAATCACCCAGGATGAAGAGTTCCAGTTCGAAATGTGCCTCTCAAACTGTGACAAAGATAAGATAAAATAAGATGAGTATCGCAAGTGTCGGAAAATTATGGGTACCCAAAAATAGATAAAAATGGATAAAAATCACCAGTTTCTGATCCATGACAATTGTGGGACTCTTTAGTCCCCCATTTTCAGGCACATGTTCTGAGCTTTGGGGGAATCAATAGCGATTGTCCCACTTGGTCAGAAAACCCACAACATATGTGGCATTTGTGCAGCCCTGTTTTGATACCTGGCCTGGTAAACGTAGCCACATAACGAACTGGAAAGATCCACCATTTTAGAGCTGGGTAAATTTTAACTATTTCGACTGGGCCATTTTCAATAGCTATGTGAGTCATTACCAGAGGGTAGTGCCCTCCGTTGTCATGAAACGGAGGGATTTCCAGTTTCCATCAACTGGCAGATCCAAAAAAAAAACAACAACTCACTGGCTGCCAGTCAGGGGTATACTCCATTTTCAGACACACCCAACATATTTTTTTGGTTTGTTTAAATCCGCATAGATGTCATTTTCCTATCGTTAAATCACCAAAAATTCCCATGGTTTCCGAAAAAATTAACTCCCCATTTTCGTGGTACATCCGATTGACCAAAATTGGTTGGTCAAATGCCCATTTGGGTGGGTTAAAATCTCGGAAAACGTCAGAATCTTCCCATATTTTGTGGGGATATTCCCCATAGCGCAAATTGCCAAAGCCATAGGCCTTATAAATGCTACGGTAGTTTTTTTTGGTTCAAAAACTTGCGTAGTTTCCCTAGAAACTTGGCCATGCTGAGGTATCGACTCGCAGCTGGTACAGGCTAAGCCTGAGCGATCAGAATACCAGTGGAACCCAAACCAGTAACTAGGCCTTCCATGGAGTTTTTTGAATGGGATACCCCAGAGGGTCATTTAACAGCTAACATGATCCACAATTGATTTACCTCTTAAAAATGGTGGATCTTTCCACTTCGCAACCTGTGAACGTTTAGCAGAGAATAGCCCAGTTGAACGGTGCTTGTTGACCGTTGTCCTCCAACTAGTCCTGAAGCGTCGATGATTGGTGTGTTGTTGACCAATTTCAGCCATAAAACTCATAAGTATGGTCAATAATGGAATTATGTAAGTTAGGTAATGGCATTATTTTGCCTAATACCTATTATATAATTCCATCATGTTATGTTAATCTTTACAATAGATATTAATAATAGATGTTGACAATATTTCCAGGGTTAGATTTACCTAACCCTAAGGAAACCGATCAAAACCTGCAAGCATCGCATTGCTTGCACCTGTATGGGTGACGGCAAAATGGTTATGGCCAAAAGCACATCTGTGTAGCTGGGAAAAGTACACCAACCCACCTGCCAAATAGAATCACACCAACTTAAACGAAATGTTCAAACCCAATAAGAAAACGTCGCTTGCGCATGAACATGCAAGTGCAAAAAGAAACTATAGAGAAACTGTGTTGTCTGAAAATAGGGCATGCCAAAATCTCGTGATTACCCTCTGGTAAACGTTTACATAACTATGGAAAATCACCATGTTTAATGGGAAAATCCACTATAAATGGTCATGTTCAATAGCTATGTTAGTCATTACCATTAAAAATGGCCATTTATAGTGAGTTTTCCCATTAAAAATTGCCATTTCCAATAGCTATTTTGACATAACCAGAGGCTACTCGTCGTAGTTCTCATTGATTGCCCTCCGGTCTCATCGAACATGCCTGGAAAATCCACCCATGGCACCATGGCCGGCCACAGGGATTTCCCAACATTGATAGCACAACCATGAATTAAAAAGGGATGGGGCTGATGGGGCTTTCCATCGTTTGATTCGAAAAAAAAATATGATAACTGGTTGGTGGTATACCTACCCATCTTGACAAATCATGGAGTTTGTCAATGGGTTTCGGATGACATCCCATGTATGAAATGGAAAATAAAATTCATGTTCCAAACCACCAACCAGTTATATGCCCAGTTGATTATATGGTTATATGATGATATTATATATCATATGATTGCCATCCATAAATAGGCAGTTGATTATATGGTTATTACCCTCTGGTAACAGTTCCATGTGGAGTTTACTCACCACCAAGCCCCCGCACCGATACCGCGCAGGTCGCGACACAAGCCGATCAAGGCTGGTTTCACATGGTCCTGCGATAGGGCGGGTTTCCCTAGCCTTGGGTTTGCCCCTGGTTTTAGGCATCCAAGATATAGAGATTTTAACCATCAAACCATTGTTGATTGTTTTGAAGATTGGGGTTTTACCATCAATCGTATCTTCTCGGAATCTGCTTGGGATCTTCATCAAAAAGCATAGTTTTTTTTTAAGCCCCTACAGGGGGGTCCTGCCATTTTGTCCTTGAACCTATTCCGGAATTCTCTGATGTCTTGACTCTGTGCTGTTCCCAAGGGATGTTTTGGCTATGTTATTCTGGTTGGTGGTTGACCTACCCCTCTGAAAAATATGAAAGTCAATGGGAAGGATGACATCCCATATATTATGGAAAAATATGGAAAATAAAAAATGGTCCAAACCACCAACCAGTTTTGCTTATACCATCCATTTCCTGTTCAACCCAGGATCCGCCTGTCGTAGCAACTGTGGATTTTGGCAGCTCTGCTGCCAGAGTTGCGTGAGAATCAGACCTGGCGGAAATCGAATCGGCCCACCGAAAACTGAGGCGGTTTCTATCGTTTTCAATATGGTTTTTCATGGATAAATGGAGATGTTAACCAACAAAAATGTTGTTGTAATGCTTTTTAGATAGTTTCCCTGGAAAACCCATGGTTTTTCTATTGTTTTTAATATGGATTAGTGGCGGTTTTTACCAACCAAAATAGAGATGTTTCTAGGGTCTTTATATGGTGTTTACCCTCAATGGTTAATAATGTTTGGTTTTTATGGATGAATAGTGATTTTAAGCATCAAGAAATCGTGACTTAATGGCTTTAATATCGTGATTAATGATGATAAGTGAAATTATTTATATACTTATAATTATAATGATCTACCCTCCGTTAATCAATCATGGCTTAACGGAGGTTTCTAGTCGGGAAAATCATCTATAAATGGATGGCAATCATCGAAGAATTAAATCGACTGGTCTTCTTATAGGTGTTGATAACGTGAAGGAAAACATGAAAGTAAAATATAGGGGAATATTTGGTCATGAAAATGTCATGACAGAAGATGATGACATGATGCTGGGTCAAACCTCCTCATCAACGGTCAAAAATCGAGGAGCCAAAGACCCCCATGCAATTTGTCTCCAAGGTCTATTGGGCAACCATAGGATTTGTCTCCATGGGTCGGGCTGGGGAAATAGTCTGTACAGTATATTATACCATCTGGTTATGACTAACAGTGACTAACATAGCCATGGAAAGATCCACCATTTTTAATAGGTAAAGCCAGGTAAACCATCTATTTCTATGGGCCATCTATACCATGGCTATGTTAAATAACCAGATGGTACGGATATCGAAGATCAAAACAACAAAAGAAGATGTGAAACCAGCCCCCAGTCTCTCTCATATGCTGTATCATGCAATATCATGCAAAATTACTACCTTTTTCCTGGTGATATAGCTTGATGCCTGGTCCTAAACATTAATCGTGTGTTTGGTTAGGTAGATTCCAGTGACAAACCACCTTTTTAGCTGGGAAACTCCCCATTTTTTCCGCTGGATGGTTTTCCTTGCCATGCGCAACACCCCCCCCGGTGCCCTGCAGGAAGCCTTGCGGCTCCATGAACTTTTCAAAGGCCTGTCCGGCAGACAATGGCAGGAGATCTGTATTGAAAACTTTTAGTAACCACCAAAAACTTATTGGTGCTTAGTAGGGAATGGATGAGAATGGGGGGAATGGGATGACTATTACTAATGATTATGGATCATTAAAAAAATGATTTTGTGTCAAGAACCATGTCCAACTAAAATAGTGATAAATTACGTTCCTATCTTTTCGGAGGTTACCATAGTGGCACTTATTGGGAGATTAGAATTGGATATCACTGATATCACTGATATCACTGATATCACCAACAGCAGTTTCCAACGCACCTCCTTGTTGTCTCTGATGTCCATAAAGAGCAGCTTGCCCAGAGTGTGATAGTACATAGTTCTGTACCTCCAAGTCTGGTGCTACTGCCCAGGCAACGGTAGGTCTGGTGGTCTGCCCTGTTTGGTTCTGCCCATAGTTCTGTAGCTACATGGTTCTTGATGATTGTACCGGTCTTGGGGAATATCTTCAGCCGGAGACACCTTCATCTATAACTTGAACCAAATGAGATATGAAGAAGACCTTGTTTTCCCATCAGCAATGGCTTGGTAAACTGGTATCCCTATTAAGGCTCTATTAATTATGGCTTAGGATCACCCCCGATCAACCCCTTTGTAACACACTCCCCTAAATCAACCAATCGACAAAGGTATCTTACATGGCTCACCTACGTATATTTAAGACAGATGTTCAACGATTTGTGCGTCCTGGAATAAAATCGAACCCATTAAATAGAATAGGCCAAGAACCACTGGCCCTCTACTCAAATATACTCAACCCCGAACCCGCTACTTATGGGCTGTTCTAACTCGGAAATGTCACCCAACAAACCACACAACAATTTGTCCCGAAACACTGGGATCACACCACCCACTGGGGCATTGGGGTTTATGCAGGAAAGGCCTATTGCATCTGGAGCTTTTGGCCCAAATCTATAATATTCTATAATATTGAATATTCATAATATCTGGGTAAATTACAATAATTCACTAACCTGAAATAAGGCTTCTCTGGGATAATTCCGATTACTAACCATAATTCCAGTGAGGTCGCAGTGAGGTCGTTATAATTTACCCAGATAATATTCTATAATGATGCACACATTTCTTGAAGCTTTCTTGAAGCATGTCATGATCGATGCTTGTCGCTCTCAGGACAGGCTTGCAGCCCCCCGTCGCGGCACTTCCCGTATTGCAAGCTGTAAGTCCTCAGGACGAGCTGACTTCCAGTGGCAGACATTCATCCATCTGTTGGGCCAACCAAAACCAACCACTCAAGGCCTTAGAGGTTCTTCAGTTTGTGGCATTAAGACGACTTTATCTTAAATTTATCAATAGCTGTCTTTCCCCAAATAATCTTTCCCGAAATCAATAAACACATTTATGTATGTTATATATATATTTAGATATATTTATGATATTTATTTCTCCAGAGAAACCTCCCGAAAATCGCTGGCAGCCCAGGGTATCCCAGGGTCACCTGGGTCACCTTTGACGGCCAAGGCGCAGGAATCCGAACTCCGGAGAGGCGTGATTGCTCAGAATGTACCTGACAACCAGTAACTGTTTGTTGGAACTTGGCATCCATTCAACTCGGAAGGGGGAGGAATCATGAGAAATCTACGGACCTATGGTTTTTCCATCAATTTGGGGTGTTCTACCAGGATTTTGACTCATAGCCACAGAACTTCATTGAACTCTCCATGTTGATTGATTCGACATCCCAAGTTCGACCTGTGATCATGGTTTCCCCGCAGATTGGACGGAGGTTTTGATTTCCGGCGCACTTCACCATTTCGTTCTTCAGCAGCAGTCGGCCGCACACAATCAGGTGCGGAGAGCGATCTGATGTATGAACCTCCGTCAGGCGGATGACACAGGGTTGAGGATTCATGCCCCATGCATCCTACCCTCCACCTAATCGGACATGGCCAGCCGGGACACCCCCGAAAAAAATGGAGGCAGAAAATCTTTGTCATCTATAAATTGGGGATTTTAAGCGGGGGTAATGATTTGAACTGACCACTAGTGATGATATTGGCTCATATTGACCAATCAATCGGATTTCAGGAATTCGACCAAGAGATAGACGGATATTCGGACTGGATGGACCGGATGAACGTTCCGTTCATAATGGGCATTGCGGCATTCCAAACATCTCCAACCAAGATATTAATGTGGCTGTCGTGATCCCCATTTCCGAAGCGGGAATGTTGGCCGAAAAAAACACTCGATATCGAAAGCATCCCAAACATCCAACATAGCGCGCTTAGCTTTATCTCAGACTTCCCAGGTCTCAACACTTGATGACACGAATCTTCACAAAACAAAAAAAGAACACCATTAAAAACAACGATAACCTGGGGTAAATCAAGATATGGAAAATCCACTCTTTCTAGATGGTTTTCCTAGGGAAACGTGGGTTTTCCACAAAAAATGGACCAGCTCCAGGCTCCCAGCGATGTTGATGCCAGCAGCAAGCTCATGGAAAAGCGCCTGAAACCAACAGACGAATTTGGTATATTCTGGGAAGTTCATCATCTTGAAAAGATGCATCTTAAGATTGTTTTGCAGGATATGTCAGGTCGTTTCTGCGTTCAACAACTAATAAAACATGCTATACTCAGGTAATACTCAGATCCTCAACGCAGAGCCTTACATTTTTAGTCAGGGTTTAGTCAACAGGCTGGACGTCCGAGTCCGCCCAGAAGCCCAATGTGCAGCCCGATGACTTGGTGATTTCACAGACATTAGACTCTGCAGAAAGGTGCCACTGTTGGTGTGTTCCCACATGGGGTTCCACCATGTTCCAACTTGACGCCACAAATGAAATCAACATGGGTAGGTCATTTTCGGTCACGAAAACCCCACCCCAGCCACACCAGTGTCTTCTTGACCACTGACTCGATCTGATATCTCTGCTGGAGGTTGTTTCCTTAGAGGCTTGGCAGACAGGTTTCAAATCCATTGGGAGCCGATTTCATCAAGACCACCAGGTGCCTCGAGTCACGTTGTCTAAGCGCCACACCAATCTTGTTGATGAGAAGACCCAGCACCTAACGGACCCGGAGATGCATGGGCAGGCCGATGAGCCAGTCATGATCCGCAAGAATCTTAACGAGAAAAGACTAAAAGCAACAGAATTCAGAAGACCAACTCCCATGGCCAGGGGGTCCCCACCGCGTTCTCATCTTCCAGACCCAGCACCGTAGCCAGGCGCTCATTCACCTGCCCAAACTGTCATCCAGAGAGGGGACAAGTCGTTCGTTCACGAACAACGATGCGGATCAACCATACTGCCATACGTGCATAAAAGCAACGAAAAGTGCGGTATCACTTCTGAAAATGCTATTATACAGCCAGAAAGTGTGGGGATAGAGCCAAATAGAATAGAATGGGAATTGATTGTGAATTCTTGGGGTGGACTTGGATATCATTCGGATTCCGGATGATACAACATGATACAACCTAGGGATCATGGGAGTGGGGACATTACCAAGAAAGACCCTGTTTGGATCTCACCATCAAAGCCCATTGAGATGGCTCGGCGCCTGCTGCTGTACCACCTGCTTCGCGTGCTCACCGATATACAACTTTCGGAACTGCTCCAAGAAGTACAAGTACCTCGCAGCCAGGGCTGCAAAACGCTCGCCGTGTCAACCCGGCCCCAGGTCTCTTGAGGCGCTTAGCGGCTAGTGTACTGAATTGTGTACTTACATAAATGAGATTCTTACACTTATGGTATATTAATGGTATTTTATGATTTTATGGTATTTATGGTATTTATATACGTATACATAAATATGTATGGTATTCACCCAAGAAGTAAATAGATACCCAGGATGTCTCATTTTTGCAAGTCCAACTTGGGTGAAATTCCTGCATCTGAAGATCAGCTGGCGTCACCAGAGTCCCAAGGTCCAGTCGAGGCACGCAATCTCTAATCCCTCGCAGGTTTGCTTTTGCTGAACCTCAGAGGAAGAATGGAGCCGGTCAGTCTCTGCGTTTCCAGCAAGCACAACTCTTGATTCCCTACTGATGGAATACTCGAAAAAAAACTTTTGAAACTGGGCGCACGCGACTGTCTCCACGTAATTTCATGGCACCGACGTGTGTTTTCCGCGGATCTCTCCCGCGATCTGGCTTCTCCATGGGATTCAATCAACAGTCTCAGCATGTTCAAACTCAAACCTTCCATGCTTGGGGGTCAAATTGTCGTTACTGTTGCAGTGGGTTCAAATCACAAAGGAGTCACGAGCTCAATTCGTTTAGTATGATTATATATGATTCAAGACTTCAAGAATACTCAAGAATCAGGAATTTCCGTAGCACTGCACACCATGTTTTTCTGATTTTTGGTGCTTTGTAGTACCTGATTCCAATGCTTGGGGCTAGCTGCTGGCGAACTTCTGGGCGACCCCCACGGTGAGGTTCACCAAGCGGAAAATCCGTCCGGCCAACTCACCTGGCCGTGGCCCCGGGGTTTGGCTGATGTTTTTGAGGGAAAAGACCTCGTTTTCCCTATCAAAATTGCCCTCAGATCTTGGAGAGTACCATTCAAATCCTCTAAAAATTCAGGCAAACCCATGTCTCCCATTACCCTCTGGCAAACGTTTACATAACTATATGGAAAATCACCATGCTATTAATGGGAAAACTCACTATAAATGGTCATGTTCAATAGCTTTTTGTATGTTTACCAGGCCGGGTATTCATTGATATTCCCATTCTTTCACCACCATATCGTGGAAAACATGGCGCCCTGGCGCCATTTTTGGGTCTGCAAAAAAAAAAATCGCCGGCCGAACCATTCACCACGTGCGTCGGCGCGCAGTCTGTGTCTGTCCGGTTGGCCTTCCAGGATTCCAGGTCTGCCAGGTTACAGGATGGTTCCATAAATGGGTGATCCCCAATAGTTACGCTCTGGTTATGTCAAAATCGCTCTAGAAAGATCCACCATATTTTTAATACAGGTAAACATAGGTAAACCATCTATTTCTATGGGCCAGGGGGGATTTACCCTCTGGTAAACATACAAAAAGCTATTGAAGCCATGGCCCAGTCGAAATAATTGATTTACCCCTTGTGATGTTCCATTGTTATAATGTAAACGTTTACCAGGCCGGGTAGATGGTTTATTTCATGGAAAATCCCAGTCCCTTAAATGGAGAACTGGGGGTTTTCTCTGAGAGACTTAGGAAAGCTCTGGAGAATCATGGCTCCATTGGAAAATCATCCTTCATGTTTGTCGAATCCACATGGATTCCCAGTCTGACTGGACCCCATTTTTATGGCAAGTTCAACCATCAAAATATTAGACTGGTTTATGGCAGTGCTTTACTAGCATGACATATTTCTGGTTTTCTGAATTTCTCTTCCACATCAATGTGAAAACTTACTGGAGGGTACGTTGGATGAGCATATCAGCTTGACATTTGTCGTGTTGTGGAGACAAGTCTATGCACGTGCTTCTGAAACATGTGTACTTTAGATACAAAATCACCGTGCGCGAAAACTCAGTGTCGAAACTTTGAAGTTCTCAACCCTGGGGAAACCCGAAACTCTACACCCCAACCCAACCACAACCACCACAATCCCCCACATTAAAAATGATGTTCATCATTGCTTGACAACTTAACTACCCTGTGTTGCGAGCGAACGCTTGAAGTTCGGTGCAAAACCGGAGTCGACCAACATCTGCCGGGGGGCTCTGACAATATGAACCGTCACGAAGAGTGGCTTCCTACCATGTTTGTTGTGATGGTTTCCTACCATGTCTGTTGTAATTATAATGATTATGCGTGTCTTATTGTCATCATGATCACAAGCATTATCACTATGATTTTAGATACTATTAATTGCATAATTCATGTTTTCAGATTTTTACGTCTCATTATAGTATTATTACTATATACTTATATGGCAGTGTGTCAAAACCCTGGTACCTAGTGAACATCAAAATAGCTGGTAAATGGATGTTCATCCCCCTAAAAATGGTATTAATAGGTATTGACCCATACCCATATACTACTATCGTTCATGACTGACTCATGACTGACTCATGACTACTCTACCTCGACTCACTGCACCTTGGCTGATGCATGGCCACCCACCAGCGCACCCATCATGTAGACGAGCCACCTCGGCCAGCGAGCTCGTCAACAACTCGTCAAAGGCATCTTTTTGAATGTGTAATCATCATTTTCCCCCATCATTTTGTGGTATGTTTCCCCAAAAAATCGAAAAAAATGCACCTTCTAATGGGGGGAAATCGATGATCTGGTGAAGCACGGCCCAACTTTTTTGAGGATATTATAGGATACCCGAAAGACTCAACTCAAATAAGGCCCCATTTCCATCCGTTTCCAAGGTAACCCCAGGATTCCCAACAGATCTCCTCCAAACATCGGATTGGGGGGTAACCACGGTAAGCATCTGACGTCATCTTCTTTTCGAAGACTTGCTGAGGAATCAGGTTCTGCTGTCCAAGCCTGGGAAGCTTAAACACCGAGCTGAGTGGGAGCCAAAATCGAAAAGCACAGATGAAAAAAGAAAAAGAAATGATTGGGCAATAAAAAAAGATGCCAATGATTTCTTTTCAGTAATCCGAGGCCTTCCTAAGCCTGACCATTGGCAGTCACCATGGCAGTCCGTGCCTGGAAGTTTCCTCAAAATGCTTCATGATGTGCTGAGCAGTGTCCTGGAAAAGTTGGTTGATGAGCCCGGGAAGTGTAAGATGCTTAGTTACCACAGCTAGATCAGTTCCCTAAATTCGGAATCTTCGGGAATCTCCAATTTCATACCCAAAAAAACCATGCGATATCCAATTTGGATATTCAGGGTAGAAACAATTCACAAAATTAGTCATCCTTAGTTTTCTTTTGCCACCATTTAAGCATCATTCTTGCAGTTAAAACGAAGTTGTCTTCCCATCTTTCTGAGGTGTACCCTAGCCCCAAAATCCCAGTCATCCACATCATCATATGCCAAGTCGGTGGATAGGGGCGGATAGCATGGACAAATTGTGCACGCAACGGGAAACCATAAGTTCTTCTGAAGAAAGCATCAACGAAAATGGGCCAAAATGGGGATTTGCAGTTGCCAGCTTCAAGTTTGCCAGCATCTGTCATGGCAGGATATGGCAGGAATGGCAGCCGCACCGAGCTCCAGAGAGTTCTCGCACAACAGAACTATTGAAGCTGTAAAGAAAAGAAAGAACAACAGATAAAATGCCATCCATGCAATGCCAAAGCAATCATCCAACTTTAGGGGGTCTGGATGTAACATGATGCATCCCATTCCCAACCCATTCCCATGCTGCATCTTCCACTTTTGTCAAAGAAAATCATCATGTGCGACGTCTCTTGGCTAGAACACTCGCGCATCCGTGGTTTCTGTCATTTTGCGAGGCGCCTGCACCTCCAAAAGATTTTGGAAGCTGCAGATTTGTCAAAGAAATACAACCATCAAAGGCACACGGCCCAATTTTCCTCACTGTCTCAGGGATGGTCAAACTTGTCAAAGAACTGCAGCCATCAAAAGCACCGTCTCCGATTTCTGTCACTGAGTTGGGGATGTCCAACCTTGTCAAAGAGCTGCAGCCAGCAAAGGCATACTTTCCCATAGACAGCAGACCCGGAAGGAATGTCAAACTCCTCAAAGAGCTGCAGCCGTCAAAGGCGCCATCCTTTATGCATGTCACAGACTCTGGGATGGTCAAACTTGTCAAAGAGCTGCAGCCAACAAAGGCGCCTTGACCAATTTGGGTCACAGATGCAGGTATGCTTAGAGTCATCAGGGAGCCGCAACCATCAAAGGTTCCATCCCAAATTTCAGTCACACCGTTTGGGATGTCCAAACTGGACAAAGAGCGGCAACCTGCAAAGGCATTACGCCAAATGCTCATCACAGACTCTGGGAGGTTCAGGCTCCTCAAAGAGCTGCAACCTGCAAATGCGGACTCCCCGATTTCTGTCACTGAGGGGGGGATGGCAAGTTTTGTCAAAGAGGTGCAGCCAATAAAGGTCCTCCTTCCAATGCTTCTCAAACCCCTTGGAATGCTCAGGTCCGCTAAGGAACTGCAGCCATCAAACGTGCCCTGTCCGATTTCAGTCACAGTGTCGGGGATTGCCAAACTTCTTAAAGAGCTGCAGCCAGCAAAGGCTGAGGGCCCAAGTCGAGTCACCGAGTCCGCAATATCAACAAGAAACAGGGCATGGCAACCTGCAAAGCCATGGGGCGGAATCTCTCTTTCGGGGTAGGGGACCCCTACGTAACGCAAGTCCTCCACATTGCAACCCGCGAGCTCCTTCATGGAACACAGAATGGGTGGAGGTGGTATTCTGAACGCGACCTGCATGCGGTGGTGCGTGGCATGTTCATAGAGTTGCTAGTGATTTCAACCCCCTTACAGATTTGAGCATAATAGTTAAATTACCCTCTGGTAAACCAACATAACTATGGAACATCACCATTTTTAATAGGTAAATCAACTATAAATGGGCCATGTTTAATAGCTATGTCAAATTACCAGAGGGTAATTCATCAGACTTAATCAACTGAATGGGATCATCATCTTAAGCAAGGTGGTCTGAGAAACTGGGCTAGTCAGCCTGTGGCTCGAGGCTTTAGCACGACTTGCGAACGTGAAACTTTGGAATGGACATACGAATGCCCAACAAACAAAGGGATTAATGGTTGCTGGATAACTACAATACAAGTAGGTACATACGAAATTTCCGAATGATTCACAAACTATAATGTGAATCGAATTCTTAAGAAAGACATAGCTAGTGGGATATTCGGCCTGGTTCTCCCTGCCTGCACATTCGCTCTGAAGGTGGGGAGAATCTTTGACACTATTGCATCAAGATCGTTCAACGCTTCCCCATCAATGAGAATATCCTTGGAGTTGCTTAAGTTAAGCCACCCCGCTAAAAAAAAAAACGATTCCCTTGGGAAAGAACAAAAAAACACTGATATTCCATTGGTATTCCATAATTATAGCTGGTGATATTCCATAATTAGGGGGGGGACTCCTCCAATAGTCATAAAGTAATAATGGAATACCAATGGAATAACGCCAATTATTGGAATATCACCATAATCACCATTATTCCAATGGTATTACTTTCATAATCACAAAAAATCACTGAAAGTAACGCCAATTCTCCACAGCGCAGAGTTTTCGAATCTTCTCGTCCGCCGAGCCCTGGAAATCCTGCGTGCCAAGCGACGGCCAGGCCCATGGACTTTGCTCCAAGATGGTCCAGGTATTGATGACATGCCATCTGAAGATACCCCAAATCATTTCTTTTGATATAGTCCCTGAAAAAACTGCAGGAAGTTCTGGGGGGCCCAAGTTATAGCTCTGTTCCCAAACCGGAGATATATCCAATATAAATAACAGTTATCGAAACCCTTCTAAAACAATTTTGTTTATCTTTCTTTTCCGCACCAAAAACAAACAACAAGCCCCAAAACGGCCGCCACTGCCACACCTTCAGTTCTTCCTTCAACTCTCTGATGGTCATGTCCAAAGGGATGGGGATAGCGATCCGACGGCCGTTCAGCAGTTCTGCATGGAAGTTCATGGTTGCCATGGCGAATGGCGGCTTTTTAAACGACCGATGCTTGCCCTTTTTGAGACCAAATGTCCTCAAAAAAGTGCCAGATACAGGTCCAAAACAGCTCTGCATAGCGCTTCATTCACAGAATTCATGACCAAACCGTTCGAGACTTCATCAAAGCATCTTTCAATGGGTGGTGTCATTCAATACTTGGAATATCCAATTCTCCCATGGTTTTCTTACGGAGTTCAAGACAACATTGACTGAGGTCCTGGTACCTACATCGACCCAAGTTGGACAGCACTTCCAGCTGTTCCGCCCGAAGAACCTGCCGGGCCACATGAATTCTGAGATGATTTTGGAATATGTTGGAGATGTTGAGATGAAGATGATGAACCTACAATTTATATCAACATATATCAATTTACAACTTATAACTTGTATCTGGAAAGCAGCAGAATGCAGAAACAACCAGGGAAATAGTGAACAAGATCAACAAAAGTGAGAATACACCCAACATCAATAGGTGCAAATGGATAACATGAGCACCCACGACAATATCAGGCAGTGGATTCGGTCCAGAAACCTTATCTGAATCTGTTCCTTGGGGGGGCCCACATGGGGGTATTTAATATTACCCTCTGGTAATTTAACATAGCTATGGAAAATCACCATTTTTAATGGGATAATCCACTATAAATGGCCATTTTCAATTGCTATGTTAGTTCACCAGAGGGTAGGGGGAAGGGATTATTGAAGCTGCTTGCCCCCTTGTAATCCGTGAGAGCACCCAGTCACAGCTGGACAGGGAAAGGATCAGTCCTGTTCGGGTTGGATCCCAATCGCATGGGTTTTTTTTGGCAAATGGCGAAGGGATCCGGAGCCTTGTTTCGGCTCTGCTGAAATCTATGGTATGTTGCTATATTTTGCTTGACGCGTCCAATGTATACAAACTTTGCTACAAAACTGCGACCTGGCTTGCAACTTCGGAGCTGTCACCACCTCCATAGGGATGTCCCCATGTCACCAGCGATCCGTCCGCCAGGATCGCAACAAATGCTGTGTTGGTGGCTTGAAGTGTCACAACACTTCTGAGCCGATCTTGGAAATCAGAGGAGTCGCCGCCAAACCCTGGATGACCCCAAGTAACAACTGATCTATCTCCAAGGATGGCCGCAAATGCGCCCCAGGTGGCCTGAACTGCCTCTACGGTCAAGAGTCTATGTTGGACGTCGGAACTGACACCGCCCAAATCTGGGTTGCCCCATGTCACCACCGATCCATCTGTCAGAATTGCAGCAAATGCGCTGTCTGTTGCCTGAATCTGGTCGACACTCACGAGTCGATCTTGGACTTTAGAGCTGTCACCACCGAAATGTGCATTGCCCCAGGTCACTACCGATCCATCCACCAGGATTGCAGCAAAGGCAGCCCCTGAAGCCTGAAGCTGCTGCACACTTCTTAGATGATGCTGGACTTTGGAGCTGTCTCCACCAAAATCTGGGTCACCCCACGTCACCACCGATCCATCTGTCAGGATTGCAGCAAATGCTCTTGTAGTAGCCTGAACCCGCTCTACACTCCTGAGCTCCTCCTGGACTTTAGAGCTATCGCCACCAAATTTTCGATCACCCCAAGACACCAATGATCCATCTGCAAGGATGGCGGCGAACGCTGTTCGCGTTGCCTGAAGCCCTTGCACATTCATGAGCCGATCTTGGACTTCAGAGGAGTCACCACCAAACCCTGGATGACCCCAAGTAACGACCGATCCATCTGCCAAGATGGCTGCAAATGCACCCCAAGTGGCTTGAACTCGGTCCACATTTCTGAGCTGATTTTGAACTTCAGAGCTATTCCCACCGAAATCCAAATGGCCCCAAGTAACAACTGATCTATCCGCGAGAATAGCAGCAAATGCACCACCCCCCGCTTGAACCTCCTGCACAGTTCTAAGCTGATCTTGGACTTTGGAGCTGTCACCGCCTAAATCTGGGTCGCCCCATGTCACCACTGATCCATCTGCCAGGATTGCAGCAAATGCTTCATCTGTAGCCTGAACTTGTTGTACACTTCTTAGATGATGCTGGACTTTGGAGCTGTCGCCACCGAAATCTGATGGGCCCCATGTAACGATGCGGTTGCCTCCACAGCACCACAATGCAAAGGCGTTTCGTGTTGCAGCTACATTCGCTTGAAGCGCAATCGCTGTCAGATCTGTCAGTTGGTCTCCTGCATCAACTGCGGCAGTTTGAAGAGATTCCATCGAATTCATCAAGCAATGCCCTGCAGTAACAAACCTCAAGAAGCCAAGTTTGAAGGACTTCTGCGCCAGGATCATCAAGTCCTCAACTTTGGAGGTTTGCGAAATTGAAAGCGTCTCAGTGCGACCACTGGCTAGAGCTACGTTGACTTGAAACATCGCACAGAACTATTAACTATTCGGTCCTTCAAAAGCATCTTGAGCCAAACTGCACCAGTCCCTTTCTATTCGTGGTCAAAGGATGTTTCAGGGATTCCGATTTCGAAACCTTTACACAACATAATACACCCACCATTTTTTCATGAAAACCACGCTTTTCCCCGTGAAATATCGAATATCGGAGTTTCCTCGTGATCAGTTTCATCGGGCAACTAAACATGGCAATGGAACATCCTCTATAAAGGGTGTTGAATGGAAAATCCTCGAGAAAATCCTCGAGAAAAATATGGAGGATGTTCCATGGCCACCTTTGATTGCCGGATGGTATGAAGGGATTCTCTAAAGCATATCTTTTATGGATGGAAAAACACTCAAAACCACAAAGCTTCCCCATATTTTTTTTACTTTGGTGGCAATTCATATTCTGTGGCCATACTCCATCTTCAAACACACACCAAACATCAACGTAACCTAGTTTTCGTGCATGAATATCCCCATCTATTTCTTACACTTGTTCATCATCCCCATATATTTTTTAGAGTGTTTCATGGCGACCCTCTACTATAAATGGCCATGTTCAATAGCTTTTTGTATGTTTACCAGAGGGTATATCCATCAATATCCCAGTATTATCCCATCATTATCCCAGCAAATCATCCCTATAAAACCATATTAAACCAGATGGTAGGCTCCCCCCTTGGCCCTTAAAAGGGCCTCATCCTCCAAGGGGTCGTCCCAGTCGTTGGTGGCGTTGGGATCCGCCGAGGCTTCGGCCATGAAGAGCCGCGACTCCACGTAGGCCACGGTGACCTGGAAGGGGCTGGTTTTGGGGGAGCCTACCCTCTGGTTATGACATACAAAATCCATGGTATAGATGGGTGATTTTGTGGTTTAGTGGTGATCTAATGGGATTTACCCTCTGGTAAAATGACTAACAAAAAGCGACATAGAAGCCATGGCCCAGTCGATTTCTAGTTGATTTACCCAGCTGAAAATAGCATGGTGGATCTTTCCAGTTCGTTATGTGGCAACGTTTACCAGGCCGGGTAGCCAGCCGGGAAAAGTTCGATCGGGGAATCCAATGAAGCATTTTTTCACGGCTGGGGATTCATGGACTTCGATTTTGGGGGATGAAAGTCCGAGGAAAACAAAACTTGCAATCATGTCCTTTTGGTAAAAATAGAGGGGCCGGTTTGGTATACCATCTATCATCATTTACCTGTTGTTAAAGGGGTTTCTTCATCCCCTCTATTAATCAACCAACCAATGGGAAAAGGACATCTATGAAAACTTGAGCCTAAAATCCCCATCTGATTTTCTATAAAACTGGATCTAGAGATCTAGATTTTAGGCCCATCATCTTAGATGTTCAAATCCGATGTTCAAATCCCATGGATTTGTCAGAGATTTTCACATCCTAGATTGAATGGATTGGTGTAAGGGAAATGTTGCAGGAAACCTCGATATTTCATGGGGAGAACGGGAAAACCCAGATTTTTCCGGTGAAGATTTTCCCGTGAAAACCCATCCATTGAGATCATTTTTTATGACCGACCTGCTGGATGAAGCTTTCCAGGGCTTTCGGCGCCTTTTCCTGACCATGATTCAGGAATTCAAGGGATCGAACCACGGATTCAATGGGGATTCCATGGGACTTAATGGGATTTAATATGGGATTTACCCTCTGGTAATTTAACATAGCTATTGAAAATGGCCATTTATAGTGGATTTTCCCATTAAAAATGGTGATTTTCCATTGCTATGTTAGTTTACCAGAGGGTAACCGTGAACAATGGGGATTTCATCTACCTCTGAATGCCAATGGATTGATGGGAAAATCTACAGAAAAACCATGGTTTTTACATCGAAATATGGGGGTGTTCCTGCTCATTTTCCCATGAATCCAATTCTGGGAGGTCTCTTGGGATGTTTTTTAGATCTCTTGGGATGTTTTTGGGGTAAACGTTTACATAACTATGGAAGGATCCACCATGCTATTTATGGGTAAATCAACTATAAATGGCCATGACTATTTCTATGGCCATGTTCAATAGCTTTTTGTAAACGTTGACCAGATTTTACCAGAGGGTATCCTATGTGCCATATTCAAACGTTGAGCTCCTTGCAACACCTTTCAACGATGCCACGAGGTGAGGCGCCTGAAGCAGAATCACCGGGCTTACCATGGCAGCCCAGAAGCCCAAGAGGTAGTGCTTGGAGTTGGGCATGACCTGCGATCCATGGGAACCATTGGGAACCTTCCTAAAACCGAACATGAATGAAACCCCAAAAACTTCACCTTTCTGGAGGGTTCATCTGCTTTTATCAGGGAACTGATGATGGGCCCTGTTTCGGAAAACCAATTGCAGCCTCAAAACCGCAGGTTGTCACATCGTCTTCGCAAAGAACAGACAGCAATTGACAAGCAATTAAGATCCGAATATCCACCACCATTCATCTTTTCGGATTTCCTAATGTTTGAAACTACTTTTTAAGAAAAAAAACTATATACTTATATATTATGTGGTACATAGTAGACCAACCCAATTTATATAATATAAGTTTTAGATAACTCAGGTGCTCCACCAATCCCAGCTGAGCCCAGCTGAGGGCCGGGCCTCCCATCTGCGCAGGCTATCCATGGTGAAGCCATAGACCTGCTCAATCCAAGCTTGGAACCTCAGTCGAAAAGATGCTGATGTTCATGGGGATGCTGTTCATCAGGGTTAGTCATGATCAAAATTTTAGTGGTTAATTGATGGTTAATGATGATTGCGAAGGATATCGTTGGATCTATGGCTAAATTTCAGGGAAGATCCCCAGAAAAGATGGGAATATAGGTATGTTCTAGGTTTAAACCAACCAAAATATGGGGATCCGTCTGATTAATCATGGTTAATCATGGTTCATAAATAGTTGATAAGTGATGTTTAATGGCTACTAATGGTTATTCGGGGGGGGTTCTATAAAAAAAAATGTTTGGATCCCCAGTTGTCACCATAGCTTGTTAACCTATACTCAGTCATAGTCATCCATGACCACTAGATGATCTGGGCTATCCCCCATGACTGCCCCTGTTACCTGGTGCTTGCTTACTTCCTGAGGATTGAGAAGTTGAGGCTCCAAACCAAACTCTGGGGAACTATCACGAACTAGCCACTTCCCCGACATAGCTACACAGATGACGTTGAGGAAGACCGACATTCAAGCTGAACGCAGCCACTGCCCATGTTCCGAGCCCATCAAGTAAGATTTCGCGTGTCATTTGTTCGAAAAATAATTTTGAGAAAAATATAGATTGAGGAGACCGGCAATTGTGAATTCGTTGGGTCCAAATTGTATGCTTCAACTCAACAATGACCACCTGTTTGTCGCATGGCCTCAAATTTACTACAAATCAGCTTGACCGACGAAAAACACCTAAAGAAAAAGACATAAAACATATGATAAGCAGCATATCACCGACCATTTACCATTCATACCTCCATCAGCACCAAAACCGGGTTTTCCTGGCTGCTCATTGGCACAGAGCTCATTCAGCTGGTGAGTTGCCTGGCAGCTCGTTTTTTCCGAAAAAAACGATGTGTTGTCGGTTTGTGGGAGAATTGGGTACCCCTAGATACAACGGATTCTTCAGACCCAAACCCATAGGTAGGATCCATGGTGGTATATTAATGCTAACATAAAGGGGATATATTGATGGTAAATGTTACCATATATAGCATACATAGATCCTAAGGGGATATATTGATGGGATCCATGGAGCACCATTCATATAGCAGCACCGTTAGGATCCGTCATGGGAAAGGACGAACATCACTGCGATCCGACCCTCGAAAATCAGTCGGATTGCTACCCCAAACGTTGGGAGGAAATCCAAAGAATTTCAGCACAGACCCTGTCCAATATCGAAAAAAACAGTATGATATAAGTTTACATGATGTGCAAATGGTGAGAAACATGACCCAAAAGTTCTGGGAACACCTAAATCCTCGGGTCCCTTGGACCCCTTTTTCCCCAATTAAATTGCTTAGAGTTGATGGTAATCCCGCACTCATTCTTGGACAGACCCATGTTCTGGTTCCTGGTACCAACCCTTAACAATCTGCTCGCCGGTTCGGATCCCACAGAATAACGCTGAACATCGAACTATTCAGGGGTTCCTCCATTTTGGAGGTACCCCCAAATGTCTATGGATCAATACCTATACATACCATTTTTAATGGGATGAACATCCATTTACCAGCTATTTTGATGTTCACCAGGGGTACAAGGTTTTGACACACTGCCAAATCATCCATTTCTGTTGGGGATGTTCCATTACCAACCAGCTATTGGGGGATGCCCCAAGGATCCCCCATGACGGAAAAAAGTCATCCCGCCCTGTGAAAAATTCGCCCGGGAGGCGTTGATCTTCCCCAGCAGGCGGCACAGCTCGTGGTAGCAGCCATGATCCTACAATTTCCAAAAGAAATTGGGGGATTTACCCTCTGGTAAACTAACATAGCCATGGAAAATTGCCATTTATAGTGGTTTTACCCATTAAAAAGAGTGATTTTCCATAGCTATGTTAGTTTACCAGAGGGTACCCCGAAAAAAATATGGGATGGAACTGATGAAACCAACCATGTTTGCCGTTTTATGAGGACATTCTAGGGATGTCATGGGTTTTTTTAACCAACAAGATGATATTTGTGGAACTATTTTACCAAACAAAAAATGATGAGATCAGCCAAGTGTTTGGACCATTTTTTGGGAATTGATGGGATGTCCAAGTAGCAGCATGATATGGGTGGGGAAAAGATTCTATTACCCAAAAACTGGCTAGTTTACCATGATCAACCATGACCAACCATGATCAACCATGGGATTTGGGGTGCCTTCCCATTTTTTTTCAAACAAACCCATCTGCGGAAGTGCTGTCATTCTGTGAGACCTTCATCATTTATCCCCAACTCACCATCAATCAGACTTAGGATTTCCCGGGAAAAAACGTTCGACCCCGCGAAGTTGCCCCTTATTTGAAAGGAAACAAATGTCTTCCAATGCCCGACTCAGGGCAGGGTCATCATGTTAGTTGGATGCTAATCCTAAGTTTACCCTCTGGTAATTTAACATAGCTATTGAAAATCACCATTTTTAATGGGAAAATCCACTATAAATGGTAATTTTCAATAGCTATGTTTAATTACCAGAGGGTAATAGATGATTCATCAACCATTATTGAATCATATTGGGGAATATGAACCATCTACAATCCATATATGCAACCCATGCTGGGCTATGACCCATTGCGACCTTTTTTTTCTCAGTTGACCTAATAAAAACCATGTTCAAGTTCATCATTCCGTATCCATATTCCAAACTTATAAGGTATCTATAATCCATATTTCCATGATATATGACATATCATGACATAGCTTCACTGCAGTGGCGGGGTGCTCGAGTTACGTAGCGTTTCCCCAGCGCTGCCTGCAGACCCATCTTGGACGCCAGGATCGCCGTGGTTCCCTGGCAGTCCCAATGCGGGACTAACATAGCCATGGAAAGATCCACTATTTTTAATAGGTAAACCATCTATTTCGATTAGGGCCATGGCTTCCATGGCTATGTTAGTCATAACCAGAGGGTATGTTTAATTGATATGTATATATAGTATCATGATATAGCATGATTATTATATATTATTTATGCGAATGCTAATATAAAAAAAGATGTGCTGAAGCCAATGCCATAAACCTCCAAAATTTGGGATGGTCACCCAGCATCAAGCGCCTGCATCATGCTCGCCAGCAGCTGGGTTCGATCCTCTTCCTGTCAACTCAGGGTGGTTCTAAGAAACATGTCGTCATTTGCACACAGTGGTGCCCGATACATGGGGATGGGTCAAAACCCTGGTACCTAGTGAACCCCAAAATAGCTGGTAAATGGATGTTCATCCCACTAAAAATGTATCTATAGGTATTGACCCATACCCACATAGCTAAATGGTGATTTCCTAAAATGGGGGTACCCCCAATCATCCATTCTAGTAGGTGTTTCCATTATAAAACCATCCATTTTTAGGTACCCCCATTTTAGGAACCCCCAAATTGGTGCAAAAAATTAGGTGACTTCTATCATTTATGGCAGAAACATCTATCGTTAATGGAGGTTATATACCAACTTATAACTGGGGGCACCACCCTGTATGGATATTCAAACGTCCATGTTGCTCGAAAATGTATAACGATGATAGTCATCATACAACAATAACGATAAGAATTGTGATTGTGATAATAGTGCATGGCCATAGTCATAACCATGATAAACTATTATATATGGATTATTGTTATCATCATATGGTTATCATCAATGATAATCAATAATGATATTACAAATAACCATAATAGTCAATAATTATCATGACCATCAATCATTGTTAGTTATTGCTGGTTATTACAATTAATCATAATAACCATCATATTGTATCATCATAACCAACAAAGCCATCAATAATTCTATGCATCGGTTAGACATCCCCATATGATCGTCGTGGATCATGGTGCAGTGGATCAACGATGGACAGCCCAGGATAGAAATTCCTGTGAGCCACTGTGGATGATCCTCTCATTGAAAAAATATGTTAAAAAGACCAAATATGCTAGTTACTGCTAGTTTCAATTCAATCTATTTCATAGATGTTTGCTGATCAAATCCACATTTCTGCTGCTGCAATTCCCGTTTCTGCTGGTTGAATCACCATTTCTGTTGCTTCAAATCACCTCTCAATGGATTGGTTTAAGGGAAAATTTACAGGAAAACACCATATTTGATGGGAAAATCCATGGTTTCCTGTAGATTTTCCCTTAAACCAATCCATTGAACCTCCCTTCTTTGTTTCTCCCAACACACAGGCACACCCCTGGACTCGGCCAGGCCGAGTTCCGTTCACCTTCTGGAAGAATGATCGTCTCAAGGCAGCGAGCAGCACCAAAAACTGCCTGGGGCGAAAGTCAAAGTCATGGGATCAAAAAGATTGGGCATTTCTACATGTGCATATATTATACTGTATATAGTGTATGTACATATATGTACAAGTATATACATGTGTGTTTATGTGTGCATGTGTATGTGTATGTGCATGTGTATGTGTATATGTGTGTATGTGTGTATGTGTGTATGTGTGTATGTGTGTATGTGTGTATGTGTGTGTATGTATGTATGTATGTATGTATGTATGTATGTATGTATGTATGTATGTATGTATGTATGTATGTATGTATGTATGTATGTATGTATGTATGTATGTATGTATGTATGTATGTATGTATGTATGTATGTATGTATGTATGTATGTATGTATGTATGTATGTATGTATGTATGTATGTATGTATGTATGTATGTATGTATGTATGTATGTATGTATGTATGTATTGTTAATATGCAACATTGTGGATAGCCAACATACCAACGTTGGCACTGGGCTCAACTCAGGGCCCTTGGGCTGGACAACAGGTCCAGAGACAACAGCACAGTTCAACAAAAGATTGCTTCGACAGTGCGCGGCCTCAGCAACACTTTCAACAGAAGCTGCCATTTTTACATGGTAGCGGAGCTCTGCCTCACCAGGGCATCTCCAAGCGACAGCAGCAACACACACCCACAACACTGAGAGAGAGCTCAACAGGAGACTCTCGACGAGCGAGCTGGCACTGAACAACACCCACAGACCAGGTACACACCAAGCCCCGACAAACAGAAGCAATGGCAGCGTCTCCACAAGCTGCAGCAGCAGCTGACCCAACAGATGGCATCACACAGACACACAAGCTCAAGCTCAGACCACCAACATTCGACGGCAACTACAACACCTTTGAAGAATGGTCCTACAAGTTCACAGCCTACATGGGTCTACATGATCCATTCTACCCACGCATGTTCAGATTGGCTGAACAAGCACCACAACAAGTCACTGAACAACACCTCAGAGCTGCAGCCCCAACAGTTGATGAAGCAGAAACATGGATACAACTGGATAACAACCTGAAGTATGTGCTGATCAACATTACTACAGGATCAGCAGCAACAGTTTGTCGACAACATCAGCACGAAATAGGACTAGAAATCCTGAGACAATTGCACATCAGGTTTGCCTTGCCCATAGGAACAAGAAGCATCGGTTACTTAACCAAAATCATGAAGCCAACCTTCGACCACAACAACTTCGAGGAATCATTCTCCAGTTGGGAGTTTGATGTCAACCGGTATGAAAGGGACAACAACACACAACTACCAGACCAAATCAAAATTGCCATCCTGCTCAACGAGACCAAAGGCCCACTACAACAACACCTGCAACTCAACGCCAGTACAGCACCAACATACAATGATGTCAGACTTGTCATCATGGAGTACTACAGAGCAACCACAGCTTTCAACAGACTACAACAAACGGCTTCAAGCAGTGTAGCAACAAACTTTGGAGGAGGTGCAGCCCCAATGGACATTGGTGCCATCAACAAAGGCAAAGGAAAGTGGAAAGGAAAAGGCAAAAGCAAAGGAAAGAAAGGAAACAAAGGAAAGACTAGTCACAAAGGAAAAGGAAAAGGCTACGGGCAACAATACAAAGGAAAAGGGCACATAGGTTACGCGCCAGTGCCATACAACCCATTCGCCGGCAAAGGATACAACACAGGAAAAGGAAAAGGAAAAGCAACGGGCAACGGCAAAGGCAAAGGAAAAGCACCAACACAAGGGTGCTACAAGTGTGGCCAGCCAGGCCACATCGCAAAGGACTGCAGAGTGGCAGTCTACAACCTACAAGAGGTTGACAAGAACGAATGGAATCAAGATGCCACTACCTATTGGTATGGGCATCAGTCCACCTTTGACAGCAATTGGTGGACAGACGATCAAACACAAGTGCAGGCTGTTCAACAGCAACAGCAGCAGCTGGCACTTCCACCGCCGCAACAGGCAGACCCAACCACAAGAATCCACATAGGAGCCATCAATGCCCCTAGCAGCAATCACCAACAAGGCATATCAACTACAGGCAAACCCGCCAGCTCACACACACAACCCGGCGTCAGTCTCAACAACGAGTTGATGATTGACAGTGGAGCGGCAACACACGTTTGCCCACCTTGGTTTGCAGCGTCCACACCAACATACCCGCTGCATCCCCAGGAGACACCAAATCTCCGAACAGCAACAGAGGACAAGATTGACGTCACCGGGTACAAATGGGTCTACATGACCAACACAAGCAATCAACCTATTGTCATCCCATTCTACGTGTGTTCAGTCACACAACCCATCCTGTCAGTAACAAGACTGGCAGAACAAGGATTCACAGTCCAACTCAGTGAACAACCAACAGTGTCACACCCAAACGGTTTTGGAGCAAAACTCAACATCAGAGAAGGAACATACTTCCTACCAGTGAAGACCACAGGTGTTCCAGACAACTATAAACTTGACGTGCACGAGGCCCAAGAAGGAATCAAGGCAACAATCTCACCAATCACCCTGACACCAGCAGGAGCACAATGGGTGACACACCAACACGACATTTGGACTTACAACAGTCAAGGCTACTTGGTAAGAGTACATAAAACCAAAAGGAGAGCAACCTACATGCCAGACCAGACTTGCCCAGTCCCCACGAACAAACTCGAAGACTACAGACGAACAATTGCCCACAAGGACACCGGAACAACAGAAGACTTCGAAGAAGCACTACACAATCTCGACCACTCTCAACGGAAAAAGATGCTGGACACAGCTGGAAAGGAGAAACATGGTTCAAGGTGAAGGCAAACGCAAAGCCACCACGTCCAGTGATCACAACACCAGCAACGACGACCAAGCACCAACCGGAAGCAAGTCAGCAGACACCACAGGCAGTGACACAACAGCCAGCAAGAAGACATACTGGCAAGCAGCCAGAAAGACAGCAAGGACAAGCACCAAGCAGCGTACAGCAGCCCTACTCAGCCACAGCAGTACCCACACCGAAAGACACACCGACAACATCAGACTACTGGATACGCGAAGGACATTTGTGGAAAAGAGTCCACGTCCATCCAAGAACAGACCTCTACATACCACAACAGACCCAGGATGGACCAGATGTCACCAAGCTCATCCCAGAGCGAACAACAATGGTGAAGCCAACATCTGGAGCAAGAGGCTACAGGATTGATGATGATTGGACAACAAAGACAAACGCCTCTCTCAACACTCCGTGGACAGGATCAACTAACTTTGAAGAAAGCACGCTCTACAAGGAAGAGGTGTATGACATGGATGAAGAAGAGCCACAACAAGCAAACACAGCAAAAGGATTGCCTCAGCCAACGCAGCCAACAGCACAAGAAAGAGCAGAGCACGAACTGACGCACCTTCCTTACCGTAGTTGGTGTCCAACATGTGTCGCCAACAAAGGAAGGGCCGACAATCACCCAAGACAAAGCAGCAAACTACCAGTCGTACAGTTCGACTTTTGCTACTTCAAGACAGCAGGTGAACAAAGCACAACACCAATCCTTACAGGGATTGACGTGGAAACAGGTATGACAATGGCAACAGTGGTCGGTGACAAACAGGGAGACTTCCAATACCACGTCCGATGCATACAAGCATTCCTGATGGAATGTGGCAGAGTACAGGCAGTACTCAACACCACAATTCTGCAATCCGACCAAGAAGATCACCTGATTGCATTGCTGAAGACAGTAGCAGCCAAGATGGGCGGCAACATCACTGTCCGACAAGCACCAACCTACACCTCACAAGCACAAGGCAGTGTCGAAAGGTTCCACCGAACACTGATGGGACAATTCAGGACACTCACTCAAGGCACAACTCCAACACAACTACGACCGAACGATCACAAGCAAGCACCCCATAGTGCCATGGTTGGTACGGCATACAGCGTACCTACTCAACAGGTATGCGGTACACGCGGATGGCAACACCAGCTATTTCCGCAGGTGGCACAAAGACCACCGACACCCCTTGTGTGAGTTCGGTGAAACAGTTCAATACCTACTACCAACCAGCAAGCAACTACCAAAAATGGAACAACGCTTCTTTCCAGCAATTTGGTTAGGACGAGACACCACAACGGGAGAAACCCTCCTGGGCATCGCCAACAAAGTTATTCGAGCAAGAACAATTCGTAGAATGCCACGTCCAGAGAAGTACAACAAGCAGCTCTTCGACGTGATCAGCAGAACAGACACTCAACAGCTACCAATAGCAGGACAAGCACCCCTGAACCAACCCATGGTCTTCCATCCTCCGAGAAGATCAACAACAACTACCGAGACGCAGACCTTGGAAGAGCAATCGACAGCAACAGCAGCACAACCCGCAGCGCGCGGAGATCTACGACTTCCGTCGCAAGCAGCACAAACAGGCACCAACACAGCGAGGACGACAACGCCAGCGATCGCAGACGCACCACTCGCAACTTCGCCAACCAGCTGTCACAGCCGACAGGCTATGCCAACACCACCGCCAAAGCGAACTGTCGCTGACGACATCGCTGAAGGCAGTCAAGCAAAGCAACAGCGGACAACCACACAAACAACAGCACCAGCACGTCCGGAAGCAACTCCGGAACAACCAAAGAGCAAATTGAGAATCACCAAGGTCACAATGACTACAAAACAAGGGACTGAGATCACAGCATACTCCTGTGAAGACGTGACGGAACAAGAGACAGAAAAGATCCTGATAGAACCCTGGGTCAACAACACCGAAGGACTGGACAAAGCCAAAACAATTGAAGGAATGAAGAACGAGATCCAATCGATGAAGTCACAACAAGTCTACATGGAGGTACACCTCGATTCCCTTACTCCCCAGCAACGACAAAACATCATACAATCTCGCTGGGTCCTCCGCGAGAAAGGCAACACGGTCCGAGCCCGGATCGTAGCAAAAGGTTTCACAGAGGCCGTGACAGATCTCGACGAGATCTACGCCTCAACACCAATCTTTTGCGTGCTCAGAACACTACTGGCACTTAGCTGCAACAACGGATGGATGGTCCGAACAGGAGACATCTCAGTGGCATTTCTACACGCGGCAGCAGCGACAGCAGATCTCTACATGTATCCACCAAAGGAATTCTACAACCCAGCAGACAAAATCATTTGGAAGCTCAACAAGGCAATCTACGGATTACGCAGCAGCCCAAAAGCCTGGCAAAATCACCTGGCACAAGTCCTGAAACAACTTGGACTTCAACGCAGTTGCAGCAGAACCCAACATTTACTTCACATCAACGAGAGATTGCTTCGTACTTGTGTACGTTGACGATCTATTGTTCCTAGGCGAGGAACAAGTCACAAACCAACTCTTCACAGCAATTCAGCAACAACTATTACTTCGACCAACAGGAACACTCACCCCAGGAAACACTGTGTCGTTTCTGGGACGCAACATCACCAACCGTGGTGACCATTACGAAATCAGCCTCAACGACGACTATACAACAACCCTTCTCACGGAGATGGGTCTCCAAGACTGCAAACCGGCACCAGCACCAGGGACATCAGCATTGAAGACAGCAACAGCAGACCACGAACAGGCTCTTTCACAAGAAGAGCATGCGCAATTTCGACGAGCAGTCGGGAAACTTCAATGGATGACCTACACCAGGCCAGACATCAGCTACGCAACAAAGGAGTTAGCACGATCACTGCAGCAGCCAACAACAGCTGATCAACAAAAGCTGAAGCATCTACTACGCTACATCAAAGGAACAAGACACTACAAGCAGATCATCCGACCAACAGCAAAAATTCCACCACGAGCCATCCCAGATCTCAACGTTTTTGTGGACAGCGACTGGGCAGGATGTCCACAGACAAGACGGTCAACATCGGGATTCGTGATCACACTACTCGGCGCAACAATCAACTACGGAAGCAGAACACAGGCGACAATAGCATTGTCGAGCGCAGAGGCCGAGCTCTACGCGATCAACACCGGTGCAACTGAAGCATTACATCTCAGAAACCTTCCCATCGAGCTCCTCAACGTGAGCAAGGTCAACATCAAGATCCACACAGACTCTTCGAGTGGCAAGAGCATGGCAACACGCATCGGGTCATCAAGAAAGGCCAAACACATTGACCTGAAACATCTATTCATACAACAACTGATCCAGCACGATTACGTGCGGCTGATCAAAATACACACCAACGACAACCCGGCAGACATATTCACAAAATATGTCCCAACAGACACCCTGCAACGACACCTTCAACAGGCTGGAATCACTTTCCAGCAGCACTACCACAACTGACGCACCACCTCAACAGTTTCACCAGCAGCAGCGTGTAACAAGCAGGCGGCAGCTAAGTATCACACTACGCGCGTGCACGACACACACACACACATCCTAGATGTTGAATTTGAGCTATGGGATCAACAAAGTTGATCACTCCCTTGCCGTAACTACAGCGTGAAGTATTTCAACAAGATGTATCACACAGTATGACATGTACCACTTCAACATAAGTGCACTACATGATTGAGGCCGTACGTGTCAACAATATCCTCGTGAAGTACAACATGACGTTTACTTCGTTTTCTTGTTTCAACAGTTCCTGAATTCAACATGTTCACTTGATTTTTGTGCAGATTCTGCGTCAACATTTTTTGTTGACAACAGAGAGCTTTGACCGCAGCCACTCCCGGCCAAACAGCTCCGAGATCAACAGAGAACACTCGACCAACACCATGGAGCTGGTCAACATCTCCCAGACTGGTGGACCAGTCAACAACTATGTCCAACTGGGCATCACATTGAAGGAGATGGGCCTGAAGGTGGTGAAGTGCCTCACAACAAGTGAGGTCACAAATCCAACAGCCTTGGAACCAGACGAGTTCCACTTGTTTGCTGTGGAAAACAACATGCCAGTTTACTGGCTCATGCTCACAGTGGAGGAGTTCAACAGCTTGATTCCATTGACCAACACGGGGGAGAACAAATTGTTGCCCACAATTAGTGGGGCAACAAGAATGCCAGCCTTCGACAAGATGATCTTCAACATGTCTCCGCAGTTGGCGGCAACGACCCTTGTCTATCATCAGACAGAAGGTCATTGCTCAACAGCTGAGACAACACAGTGGATCCTCCTGAGCTTTCAACAAGATCATCAACAGAACCAACTTCGATTGGCAAATGGTGCAATCACCGTCTTCAACAGAGGATATGTGGCACCGCAGATGCAGCTTCCATGGAATCGAACACTTCGATTCAACAACTATGAGCTCAGCACCCAACAGTCCTGGGTGATCACAACGACATCTGAGACAACAAGTCTCTTGTGGACAGTCCACGATCGCCTCTCGTGGAAGCACAACATCCTGTGGACCTTCAACGTGCCTGTTGATGCCAGCAAGGTGATCAATACAGATGCCAATGAATGGCCACAGGTCGTGCAAGCCTTGGCCTACACAGGCCTACAGGCTTTGGACCACTTCGATGACGATGTCAACAAGAGGATCAAAGGGCTTTTGACACAGTCGCACCCTCTGATCCAACAGAGATCAATGCTCAACACGAGCAACATCCATTGGCATGGAGCCAAAACAGTGGAGCGCCTGAGAGGCAACCCTGCTTTGATGTCGTTCGTCAACAAGTTCGACTACGCAGAGTATGCCCAACAGGTCAACGCTTGGAGAACCAAATGCAATGCTGGAGACAACATGGATATCGTCGAAGAGGGCATTGCAGCCAACGAGGATGGCAACGATCTGTCTGGATGATTCAACATGACAGAGATCACAGTTGATGATGACATCAACAAAAGGGTGAAACTGTAACATCCTGGGTCAACACCCGAAACAACAGAGATGCTGGTGATGCAGGACACCAACATCGTTGGAAAGAATGACGTCGAATTCGGATCAACAGGTGTACACTACATGTCATGTTGTAGACAACATCTTTGATCAACATTCGATGATGTAAAGTGTACAGAATTCTTTCAACATATAGCCAATATAATAGACTGTTAATAGCCTTTTTTGTGTCAACAACGTAGTTAGCTTAGTTGCAACAATGTTCATAGAATCGTTTGTTTGTGGCCAAACATGTCAACAACACATGTGTGGCCAAGAGGCCGTGTTAATATGCAACATTGTGGATAGCCAACATACCAACGTTGGCACTGGGCTCAACTCAGGGCCCTTGGGCTGGACAACAGGTCCAGAGACAACAGCACAGTTCAACAAAAGATTGCTTCGACAGTGCGCGGCCTCAGCAACACTTTCAACAGAAGCTGCCATTTTTACATGTATGTATGTATGTATGTATGTATGTATGTATGTATGTATGTATGTATGTATGTATGTATGTATGTATGTATGTATGTATGTATGTATGTATGTATGTATGTATGGAACACAATGTATGTATGTATGTAGGTATGTAGGTAGGTATGTAGGTATGTAGGTATGTATGTAGGTAGGTAGGTAGGTAGGTAGGTATGTATATGTAATGTAATGTAATGTAATGTAATGTAATGTATATTGATATCATTTTTACATATCTATATATATATACATATCTTGTGGCACTTCTACATGTGTATTACATACATATTTATTGGCAGTGGCATTTGTAGAGGGAGAACGTCGGGGAAATGGATGAATGTGCTATTCAACTAAAAGAATCAGCTCAGGCTACAGATAACAGGGCTTTGAGGTAGATTTTTGAGGTTTCTATCTGGGCCAACGCGTTGGATGACCCTGAACCCATCATCGGATGGTTCGATCTGGGATCAACTCCTGAAAGCATGGAGACTCAATTTTGAGAAGTGCAGTAGGGGAAGCTTTTGACTGCCAAGACTCTGGTACAGAATCAGAATCAGAGTATCCCCAATCCTATCCTCCAGCCTCAAGCCTGGAATGGACCATCCCGTTACCTCAAATTCCTTCTGAGGCCATGACAAGCAGAACTGCGCGCACTCCGTCCATTGGTAGGTACAGCTCCTAGCCCCGGCAAGTGTGTGAAACAACGTGCGGGCGATGGCACACCCAAATTTCTAAACCCACGGTTGCCTTAGATGATTCATATGGTAAAGGTACCATTCATGATACAGTTGGGGCCCGGACCCGTTGTTACTGGTTGTTGATCCAGGGTTAACATTGCTGAGCCATCAGGTCTGGCTGTCGTGCAAACAATCTTGGATTCTCCCCTGGGCTGACACATCTGCGAACTCACAGGAGAACCCCGCTGAAAAGCCAGAAAGGACCCATAAAGTTTTGTCACTTAAGAAAGTGGTCGGAATTTCTAAGTTCCAATGAATCAACAAAACCAACCAATCCAGTCACTCCAAACCTACCCTCTGGTAGTTTAACATAGCTATATAAAATCACCATTCCAATAGGTAAATCATCGATAAATGGGCCATTTCCCATAGCAAACTGTGAAGTATTCGCACTAATATCTCCAAATCCCATTAAACCATGTGAAATGACCCGAGGGTACCAGCCCTGCCACCCAGCACGGCCGGCTGCTTCGACTTTTCTGACCGGCCCATTTCAGCCGTCCAGTTTCGTTGGCTCTTCCAGGTCTTCAATAACGAAAACCTCTCCGTCCTGGGCATTGACCACCCCGAAAAAAATGGTAAATCCTCAGAATGAGGTCCCATAAAAAACATGTTGTAAGTGTCTCAATATCAACAAATAATCATCCAATCTAATAGTCACCTGGTGGTCAAACCTAGTAAGTGTCAAAAAATGGTTAGGAGTTGGTTTGTTTTATTATTGGGGCTGCCACATTACCTGGAACATGTGCGCAGAAATGGTCATCACCGCTAAGACCAGCACAGTCATCATTGTCATCGTCATCATGATTGTATTTATCATCATCACTATCAACGTCATCGTCATCGTCATCATCATCATCGTCGTCATCAATCAAACAAGTAATAGTCATAATAACGATCTGATAGTCACAGGGATATGTTCAAAAATTGTAACAAAATGATATAGTCATAGTAATACAACATCTATTGATAATGTATCAATCATCATATTGACGCGATTAATAACATAATATTAACAATGATTACCCTACAATTGTAATGATTGTTCTTTGCAGTGCCTGTTCGTTCTTTGCAGTGCCTGTTCGTTCTTTGCAGTGCCTCTTCTTTGCGCTGACTGTTCTTTTCATCAAGTCTTCTTTGCATCAAGTTTTCTTTGCAGTGACTGTTCTTTGCAATGACTGTTGATGTCAATGCTTTGAAAACTCCCCAATACAGAAATAGAGACTTCTAATTTTCCTTTTGATAAATTTTGTGAGATCCTCAGTTCCGAAAATTGAAACGCTGCATTTCCAATAAATTCAATCAAACAACCTGGATGCTGCAAAATCCATCAAAATCAGCTTGCGGAAAGAAGAATCTTGAGACGATTTCCAGATTTGCTCTCCCGCAGCTAAATTTCTCAATTTTCAATGGATTGGTTTAAGGGAAAATCTACAGGAAACCATAGATTTTCCCATTAACTATGGGGGTTTCCTGTAAATTCTCCCTTAAGCCAATCCATTGATATTTCGTACCAAGAAGAGAGGACGCCTCGTCATTTGCCATGGAAAATGGTCCAGTGACTTCGATGGTTTACCGAACTACAAAATGGCGGATCTTTCCAGTTCGCAAACTGCAACAAATTACAAGAGGGTATCAATTATATGGTACCGTATCAATAGTGATAATGTCAATGTGAAAATTAATATCCCACCATAATAATGACATAGTAATATCACTTTTTTCTAATCGGCAGTTAATGCCAACATCAACAATGATATAGGATCAATGAATGTAGTTAACCATACTTCTATGTTCAATCGATTGTGGTATTAAAACTAATACTAATACCAGTAACAAATAGTGCAATATCAGTGTGGATTCATATGGTATTATTCATTGTTACAATACCTTATCATGAATAATACTAATAATAGCAATAGTAATGATAGGTAACGATAGTATCATTATCCACTAATAATAATATCAATATCAATAATAACATCAATGAAAATACTGATAATAATGACATCAATTGTCTGGGTGTTATGTGTCAATATTGATAACATTATATCGTATTGACAAACTTAGTGGTGTTATTATCAATTTTGTATTCAAAAATGTTATCAGATTGGTTTAATATTGTTATGTTTCACTTATTGATAACATAATCAACACACAATTATTGTTATGATATCAATGTTGTTTATTGATACCATAATTAACACACTATTACTGTTATGCTATCAATGGTGTGGTATGAACATTGATATCATATATTGTCATGATATTATCCATAACACTGATCACATTTATCAACAATAACTAAAGAAAAAGTTATACCATCTGGTTATGACTAACAGTTCGCCATAGTATAGATGGCCCATAGAAATAGATGGTTTAGCGAGCTATAAAATGGTGGATCTTTCCATGGCAAACTGTTAGTCATAACCACAGGGTAGAAGTAAATCTACTAATCTTCTGGGCCATTTTCCACCAAGGTTCCACCTCTTGTGGCTGTGCTTCGTCCAGCTCAACATCCTCCACATCCTGCCGCTGCCGCATGGCTATTCTTTGAGGAGAGGATCCTCACCCATCCTGGGTTCATATATAAATAGTAGTATATGGAACTGATTAATCATATTAATCATAAGAAATATATATATATATATGTATGTATAGATGTATAGATGAAATGATTACTACATACATATATTGTTATACATATATAGTATCATTTTTATTTGGTGTATGTCTTTTTATGTGTATGTATTCATATTCTCATCATTAACATTAATACCAATAGTGACAGCATTGTATATCTATACATACAGTATTTTGCATGTATATTCTGCCGGTGTACCTATGCAAACGTATCAACTATAAACTCTTACTCATGGGGGATGACATGGTGGCGTGCCAAATATGGTGTTGCGGTCAAGAACTGGAGGCCGTCTGAATTGTCCGATTGTCCCACATCAAGCATCCAAAACATCCAGACAAGGCATTGCAACTGCCACCCACATAATTATGGGGGTTTCCATAAATGGGGAATTCCCTATTTTTTGTATGGTTTATTTCATAGAAGATCCATTTATATTATATATGTATATATAAATGGATGATAACTGGGGGTACCCCCATGACTGAGGAAACCTCCATATGGGTTTCATCTTATCAGCACCCGACAACTGGGCGACTTCCGAAACGCGAGGATCGTCACCTCCTCTTTGCAGCAAGGGAGGCACGATGCCACGATCGAACACAGCCTCAGCTCCGGCCAAACCCCCAAGGTTAGTGTCCTAACTCGTTGAAGGTTGGTGCACAAGCGGAAAATCAGGGCGCAAGCGGACTGTCCAATCTTTTTTCGGACTGTTTTAATTTTGTCTGTTGCTCAGTCCGCACATTCTTTTTCTAGAAAGGACCAACAGTGTTCAACCTCATTTTTTTGCTATTCATGGTTATTAATGATGGTGAATTCTATGGTTCATAAGGGTAACTTATGGTTAATTCATGCTATGCTTCTGTTCTCATCGGGAGATTTTTTCCGGTTTTTTTTAAAGGTGGGATCCGACGCCCACAACGAGTCCGAGGATCAGAAAGCCCACAATCAGCAACGAAGAAAGTGTCATGCTCACCTCCGTGGCAGCGCGAGCTTCAGTGAACCAAGCAGAATACCTAGAGAATCGTAGAGAGATGCAAATGTTGGGCCAAGATCCTTTTTCGCTATAATTCATATGATCGTTTCATATCCGAGGAAATATCCTTACCAACAATTATGGAAGATCATGAGGTTATAAACAAACACAGAATGAGAAAATATATCATAACAAGGACATGACCAAAAATAGTACGTCATGTAAGGTCACGAATAATTTATGCAACTCTTGAGGATAGTGGTTTTGGACACCATTTTTGGAAGGGACTGCATTTCAAGAAAATTCTTTTTCAGAAATGGCCATGTAGTATGGCAACATCGTTGGGGAACCCCAACTCTCACCATCCAAGCAGGCCTCATACCAACCAGAGATGATGAGTTTGATGCCAATGAAGACCAACACGATCCCAACCCCATACCTCCCCGTGGCGGACCCACATGAAGGGAGAAAAAACACATGAAGAAATCCTCGTTAAACCCAAGAAATCATCCAAAAAGCTTCCATGGTGGTTTGTTTAACCACTAAGACTAAATCCTCTAAAAATGAATGGATTTCCTTATGTTCGAGGCGGGTTTCGCGATGAAAAATCAAAGGTCCAGGTGCTTTAGGAATCGGAAGGACTGCGTCAGCATATCGACGACCTCAGGATGAGGCTATGTGACGTCCTCGAGGGGCATATTTCGGACACCAAAGTTATTTTGTCCAATCCAAAAAAATAATCCCATCAAGTCCATGTTAAAAAAAAAAGTGCTCTTCATGTCTGAGAAAAAGAGAAGACGACCTCACTCCTGGTTTTCGTTGGGATCGCCCTGCCCTGCCCTGCCGTTCAAGTCACGGTTAGCGACCTTTCCCCGCTGATCCAAGATGGATCCCAGATGGATCAGATTTCCCCAGGCATTTCCGATCGCCGAGATGCGAGGTAAAGGCTTCGCAGCACAAACATGGCAAAAGCGCTTGAGGAGAGATTCAGGAAAAAACTGACCTCGCTGGATCGCTGGTTTTTTGCCCCCGACCCAACAACCATCAACAGCCATCAACAACCATCAACAACCATCAACAACCCGATCCGCTGGCTGCAATGATGGCTTTGGGCTTTGCAAAAGCAACAAAAATGGCTAGATGTATGGTATGGCTTAGACTTGAATGAAGAGTTGTGACAAGTTAGATGGGTGTTTCCCAAAACAGTTCTGCAGCATTTTAAACGACCCTATTCTGGAAGATTCTGGATCCTCACTTCCAAGAAACCACCAGATGACAATCTCCAAGAGTAATGTTAATACCGATTTTTTTCTAAACTCTGACTGGAAATTGGGTGTTACCCCCAAAATAGTGATGAATTGAATTATCATTACAATCGGTACCCCTCCTATAACTAAACTCGATCCTGGAGTAACATTACCACCTTTCGCAGATAATGGGTGATTTTTCCGCTTAAATGCCATCTATTTCTGTTGTTTTCCAGCCAGCTATGTTTGATTTCAGAAGGATAAATCAGCAAAATCCATTAAAATCCATGAATTACATAAATCCACTGAAATCCATTCTACAAATCCATTAAAATCCATTATATTAAAAAAAAAAAACATTCAAATCCATGAGAAAAAAAACATAAAACCCATCGATATCTCGTGGCCCACCTCCCCAGGTCCCCGTCACCAAGGAGCTCTGGGATCAAAGCCATGCACCGAGGACACCTTGGCCGTGACGCTGTCGACTGCGAAGATGACGTCGATGAAGGCCAGCGTCAACACCACCAGGAAGAGTGGGGTGACCTTCTGTGGATTTTTTCCCATCGAAAAAAAATCCAGAGATTTTCCCCACAGTGACCTGACCTGTGGATTTTTCCCATCGAAAATTTCTGATTGTTTTTTCGAAAAATCCCCATCAGAATAGTGGCAACAAACGAACGTTTTTTGTGATTGTTTGTTACCCAAGAGATGATGGTTTATAGTCAGGTTAACACATGTGCCCATGTTCAATTTCATGTTGTATTTCCCTGATTCCTGTTGGACAGCGTGCAAGAGTTTATTGATGGTGTGCGTATGGGTGCCGAAGAGTAAAGTATCATCAGCATAAAGCATTTCAGCGAATTGGATACCTTTGATTGGTTCTTGTTGTTTCGGAGTTTTTAGTGTGGCCCGAATGTCTTGGAAAATTGCAGTCATTATGAAATCTTGTGTTCTGAAGCTTGAAAAATGTTCTCCCTTCGTTAATCTAAATTTAGCTTCTCTATAAATATTTTGAACAACTTGAATTATATTTTGTCGGACAGAGAGCCGCTGTAGAACCTGTTTGAGTTTTTTCTGATCAATCTTCTCGAAGGCTTTCTCCCAGTCTAATAGAACTAAAGATATGTTCGTGCCTTGCCGTTCAGCCAAATCCATTAATCTACGCGTCAAAAATATAGCCTGGGATGTTGATTTGCGTGGCCTAAACCCGTACTGTGTTTTATGTATCCAAGGTTCTAAAACCACGACAAGTCTCCATTTGATCATAGCAGCCAGCAATGTGTAAAAGGTCTGCAGCAAAGCAACGGGTCTACAATTTTCAAGTTTAGAGGGATCTCCTTTCTCAAAAATGGAAGCAATGTTCGCAAGGTTAAGGGAATCAAAATATGTGTTGTCAACAAGTATCTCATTGTAGGATTGCAGGAGAATTGCCCGGTTTGAGCTGTCTAGGTATTTGACAAGTTCGACTTGCACTCGGTCTGGTCCTGGAGCCTTAGTTTCGTCAAGTTCCTGGGCCTCAAATTGCGATGCCTTTATGGCTTGTCCCGTGTTGGAAAGAGGTTGCGGGTCAGGTTCGTCAATGGGTTCCGGTTGTTTCCACTCTACTGTGGCTAAATATTTGGCTGCCTTTTCGGGAAAGCCTCAGAAACCAAATGCCCTTTGCTGTCCCTAAAGATTGTGTGTAATGGCACAAATTTCTTCTTCAAACGCTTGATTCCTGACCATCTGTATCCGTGTTCATCCATTTCCTCAAGCTGTGCTTGTATGTACTGCCTTTATCTTTACGGATTTGTTTCCGGAGTTTTGACTCCGTCTCCCTAGCCTCTTGTAGGAGACCTTGTTCATTCTGTCGTTGTTTGGTACAAAGTAGCTCCCATGCCGTATCGATAATGTATGGTTTTCTCTGTTGAGGTGGGATTGGTGTAAAACAAGTCAAGGCGGCATCTATAAGTATATGAGCCCACTCGGCGAAAGGGTCCTGGGAAAGTGGAAAGTTTTGCGTATGCACCTTTTCTGTAACCAGTTTATTAAACTCTTGAATTTGTAATTCTGACGGTTGGCGTAACTTTGGATGTGAACATCCATGCGCCTTTTTCCGTTTGGCCAGCTTCACCTTTGCTTCGGCAACAAGGAGTTTGTGGTCAGTATTGACTGCGTGTTGGTCATTTGTTTCTACGTTTTGGATGCAGTTTTTCCATCGTTGATTTATAAGAACATAATCTAGCTGCGCATATAGGTCTGTCCTGCATGATCTTGGAAAAAGAGGGCCGCGACGTTTCTGTATGTTACAAGCTTAGGCAAACTCTTCTGATACCAAGTATTGGAAATGACGAAACCATTTTCTTGACAGAAAGTAGTGAACCTACTGCGATGATCGTTTTGTTTTTCGCTCAGCTGATCAATGCAGCTCGTGTCTTCCCCAAAGATAGGCATGCCAATTATATCTTGCTCATGCGGACGTCTTTCTAGAAGCCTTGCATTGAAATCACCTAGAATTCTAGAACTATACTAATTTCGTGCTTTGGTAGTGTGCTCACGGCTGTTTGGATGTCCCGGTAGAAAATGTCTTTGTCCTTGACACTCCTTCGTGCGTGTGGTGCACGTACAGCTACAATGATAGTCTTGACTGGACAAATATTGAAAGTGGCGACTAGGAGGCGCCCGTTGATTTGTCTAATGTTATGTTTACATTGGCGCATTTTTGGGCGATAGACAATTGCGACCCCATGCCTTTTCTGCTTCGATCCGATCTTCATACGCTACACTGGTGGAGAAATAAAAAGTATTTTGCCCTCATGGTTTTCCATTGAATCTGTGTTGATCCGTGTCTGCAGGGCCAGGATGTCAATTTTGTTGTCATCAAATGTATCACTTTCTGCCAGAATGATTCAGGCCATCATCCAGTCGTTGAGAGTAGCTATTTCAAATGATGACGATCCCTTGAATAAGAAATGCCCATGTTTTGCACAAACCCACATCCAGCATACATATTTTGTTTGGTCCGTGCCCTCCCAGTAATCAACCGTGGCTTGCTGGAAAATCCACCATTTATTATATATGTATATATAGCCTCGTCCAGGCTTCTGGAACTGCGTAAACCTGAATTAGGTTGGTAAAACTTGTCCATTCCGTGACGAAATTTCGTCGCGGAATTAACAAGTTTCATTTGGGTCATGTTCATCATCATCATCCTCATCATCATCATCATCAGCATCATCATCATCATCAGCAGCATCATCATCATCATCATCATCATCATCAGTATCATCATCACCAGAAACATGTGAGACCAGATTTTTCTGTTTCTTCACAGCAGCTGCAAGTCTCGCACAGCTTTGAGGACCTCTCCCTGTGTCTTCCAGGGGTCCTTGTTGCCAATCCAGTGATGCCATTGGCTTTGCGCCACACGGGCATCCCCACCCCCCCCACCCCGCGTGTGCGTAGCATCAACTGCTGCTCCCACCCCACCCCACCCCACCCCCCACACCCCACCCCACCCCACCCCCGCGTGTGCGTAGCATCAACTGCTGCCGCAAGTTCACATGAACGTTAACATCCCAACCACCCCACCCCCCCACGCGCGTGTGCGTAGCATCAACTGCTGCCGCGTCACATGAACGTTAACATCCCCCCCCCCCCCCCCCCCCCAATCGTATTCAGGTTTACGCAGTTCCGGGAGCCTGGACAAGCCTATATATACAGAGATATAGATATATGTATGTACGTATATATATAATATATTATATTATATTATATTGTATTATATTATATATTATATATTATATTATATTATATTATATTATATTATATATTATATTATATTATACTATATATTATATTATATTATATATTACATTATATTATATATTAAATTATATTATATTATATATATTCTATTATATTATATTATATCTTATATTATATTATATTATATTTTGTTATATTATATTATATATTATATTATATTATATTAAATTGTATTATATTATATTTTATATTATATTATATATTATGTTATATTATATATTATGTTATATTATATTTTATATTATATTATATATTATATTATATTATATTATATTTTATATTATTATATCATATTATAATATAATATATTATATTATATTATATGTTATATTTTTATATTATATTATAATATAATATATTATATTATATTATAATATAATATATTACATTATATTAAATTATATTATATTATATTATATATATATGGATTATATATATAGATGTATTTAGATAGATAGACATAGATATAGATATATAATTTTCACAGCTACAAACCTCCATAGATATGGCCTATCCCATTACACTGTTTGACTACCAAAGGATCATCCTTCCCAAACACGCAAGGCCCCTCCGCCTTGAGGCTACTGGCAGCCTTGTTGGTGGAAGCTGCAAATAGGGCTGGTTTGGTGAGAACCAGCCAACGTGTGGGTTTCTACCAAGCAAAGTGGACATAGGGCCTTCCAAAACAATAATTGTTGGTTCACCATATATCGGAACATATTTGACATAAATTGATCTAATCCCATCCCCCAATCATAGTACAAAACGGAAATGGTACCCAAAAAAATGGGAGAATCTCCTATGACAATGGGACACTCCAAGTAAACCAACCAGGGAACTACTAATCCGGTGTGACATGATATATACCCGGTATGCATATGTTAGGTATGCATAGGCTTCCTCACTTCACGGTGAGAATGGTTCCCTGCAGGTTGAGGGGATCAGGGGAGCCAGAACAACCATGAATAGCTTCAATGCTTCGGCTGATCCCCGGAACTCTGCTGATCAAAATGCCTTGGAAACAGATGTTTATTCCCCCCATTCGTCTTAATCTCCCTTTCGACTCATGAATTTCACGGTGTTATATCCCCAATTCTGACGCTTCAACCCGCAATGTTCCATGCGAACTTGACCCGTCCCAACTTTTTCGCGAAGTTCGTGGTTTTCCTGTGGGAAAAACTGCAGATTGTCCCAGTGGGAAGCCCACAACCAACGACGCAACAACGACGTGACCGGGCTGCAGGATGCTGCGGGTCATCAACGTCCATCATGCCATGCCTCAGTGGACGACGTGACAATAAAAAAAGTTTGCCCTTCACGACTGCAGGTACGCTATAGCTGCTATACGTAAACATATTAATGTTTGTATATATGTATGTGTATATACGTATACATATGTACATATGTATGTGCATACACTATCAATATTACAATATATGGAAGGCATTTGACAAATCTCACCTGTCTCGGAACCTGAAAATGATAGAGACTCACTTGGAAAGTTGGTCAAGTGCTCAGAAAGAAGCTATGTATCTACGTCTACGCTGTCAATCTGTTCAGCGTTCCACCAAGTTATTTCCGATACGATCAGCAACTTCCACCTACTGTGGGTGATATCACAAGACTTGCTCACCTGGAATCAATCTTGCTGAACTACCCTCAAGTAAACTAAGCTTGCTGTGGAACATTGTTGATTTATAGATGCTGTACCTATAAAAAAAATGAGGATTTTCCAGATTCTGGAATATGTATATATACAAATATCAACATATATATATATACATATATATATATGTATATATCTGTGATATATATATATATATATGTATTTATTTATTTATTTATTTATTATTATATATATTACTATTATTATTATTGTTATTATTATTTATATTTATATATATATTAATTATTATTATATATATATTTATTAATTATTATTATTATTAATATTATATATGTATATATTGTTATATGTATATACGATATATATTTATATATTATGATATATATATACATATATATCATGTATATATATATACATGATATACATACATATATATATATATACATATATATATATACATATATATATTATTAAATCATATATATATATATTATAACTTAACTATGTTAATATACCAGTGGTTAGAATACTCTCACCCAGCAAACAACGTAAGCACCATGGTTGGTGATATCGGCCCGTGAGGGCGTTATGGTTCTGCGCTTGAAAAGCAAACATCAATGCATCCATGCCCATTGAGATATCCCACTAGAATCAGTCATAGTGCAAGTAAAGCGCCTATTCAAAGTTTGCAATACAATATTTCATATTATAATTATATATATATATATAATTTAGTAAATAATGGGGAAAACATCCATATGGAATATACAATGTTAGTAGAGCAATAATAAACCATCCATTTTTTCAGTGGATGCTTGAAATCCCACCCAAAAAAACGGTAAAATTAAGGGATGCCACAAATGGCTTCTGGTTTGGCACATGATACCCCGCAAAACATCCCACAAAACAAGAATATCATGATACTTCTTGACTAAAAAAAGCATCCAAGCCACAATTCCACCTCATCTTTGCTCTTTCCAATAATCTTCGCCCCCTCCCGTGCTGGTTCTGCAGCACTTTCCAGGCCCTCAACCTTCACCCGCACGAAGAAACGCGGCTCCTCCGAATACTTGTCATGGAGGGGCAGGTGTCGAGCCACACAGCGTACCAAGAGGTTCTTGCTGGGATCCGCTTCATCGTCATCATCCCAAAATGCCTGGGAAACAAGCGGATGCAGCTGGTTTTCTTGAAACCCGTTGCTTTGTTGATCTTTTTGCGGGCATGGAACAGATGGTCTCACTTTTTTTTAGGGGGAAACTCCTAGTTGATTGATCCTGGGTTGACATTGTCTCGTGGCATTCACTTGCAGGGGTGACAGTTTGCCTTGCGGGGTGTCATACATCTTGGAATCAAAAAAAGTGACTGGGTAGAGGCAACAAGCAACAGAACTTGTCAACCAGTACGACTACCCTCTGGTAAACGGCTATACACTTGAGGCCGGGGGTGGATGACGAAAGCTAGCGGGGTAGGAGAAAGAAGGAAGGGAAGAGGTGAGTTCCGGAGGGACTGTCATCATCGTGTCGCGGCATTGTTCGTCCCAACGAGGATGCAACAATGATAAATGATATATGATATATAACAATGATATATATGGGGGACGGGGGCAGGGGGGGGCCCTTTCGCGTGAAAAAGCACGTGATGTCCTTGGGGAGCCCCGGAATACTTGCTAAAGCAAGAAGACTCCAGCTAGCTGACGCTAGCTTTCGTGATAACTATAGAAAATCACCCAATCACCCCTTAAAAAACAGGTAAATCAACTATTTCTATGGCCATTTTCCATAGCTCTGTTCGTTTACCCGTACGACTAGTACCGTTCCTTTATGCTTCTGATATGTTCTGAGGCTTCAACCACGAAAAAAACGGTTACCGGACGACTGTTGCACGACTGTCAAACGTTAGGCCCGCTGGCGAAGATGTACAATGTACGCCCATCATGAATGATAATGTACATCTAAATTGTGATTGTATATCTAAGATTACCTAAGATACATATCCACATTGTATGGAATATGGTGTTTACTAACATATATCATAATGTACGATAATGCTGTCAAGTGATTAATTGGTAATTATATACCAGTAGTACCGCACCAGGCGGTGGCGGAAGTTTCGGAATAGGAAACCTATAGGAAAGCTTGGTTGTTGTGAATGACGGATGGCAGAGCGAATCCACTGATGGACTGAAAGGTGGTTGGAGTTGTGTTTTTGGGAGTGGTTACAATGGTTGCAGTGGTCACCTGGTCGGCCACCTCACCCACAACTGCTGGATGTAGTGTGGTGTAGTGCAGCTGTAGTTGTAGTTGTAGTGTAGTGGGGTTGTAGTTGTGTGTGGTGTAATTAGTGTAGTGTAGTTGCAGTTGCATGTGTGGTGGTGTAATGAGTGCAGCGTAATGTAATGCAGGGTAGTGTAGTGAAGTGTAGTCTAGTGTAGTGTAGTGTAATGTAAAGTAGCGTAGTTGTAGTTGTAGCTGCAGCTGTAGTTGTAGTTAGTGTAGTGTAGTGTACTGTAATGTAGTGTTGTGGTGTGGTGTGGTGTAGTGTAATTAATGTAGTGTAGTTGTAAATGTAGTTGTAGTTGTAGTTAGTGTAGTGTAGTGTAGTGTAGCGTAGTGTAGCGTAGTGCAGTGCAGCGCAGTGCAGTGCAGTGCAGTGCAGTGTAGTGTGGTGTGGTGCCGTGCAGTGCAGTGCAGTGCAGTGCAGTGCAGTGTAGTGTAGTGTAGTGAAGGGTGATGTAGTGTAGTGTAGTGTAGTGTAGAGTGTAATTAAGTGCAGTGTAGTGTAATGTAGTGTAATGTAGTGCACTTGCAGTTGTAGTTAGTGCAGTGTAATTGAGCGTATTCTGGTGTAGCGTAGCGTAGTGTAGTGTAGTGAAGCGGGGTGTAGTGTAGTGTAGTGTAGTGCAGTGCAGTGTAGTGCAGTGCAGTGTAGCGTAGCGTAGTGTAGTGTAGTGTAGTGTAGAGCAGTGTAGTGTAGTGTAGTGTAATGCAATTAGTGTAGTGTAGTGTAGTGTAGTGTAGTGTAGTTGTGTAGTATGTGTAGTTGTAGTTGTAGTTGTGGTTGTGGTTGTGGTTGTGGTTTGTGGTTTGTGTAGTTTAGTGGAGCGGGGTGGAGCGGGGTGGAGTGGAGTGTAGTGTAGCGTAGTGACATGTAATTAGTGTAGTGTAGTTGTAGTTGTAGTTGTAGTGTAGCGTAGTGTTGCGGAGTGTGTAGTGTAGTGGTTGTAGTTGAAACTGCGACAACACCCTGACATTTTGCTCACTTGTGGCAAGATGCAGAACCCCTTGCGCCTGCCACGCGCAACGACATCTGAACGTCCAAAAGTGGTCCGAGACCGTCAGCTTTAACACTTTTGACTTGGAAATGTGCTTCGCGCCACAACAGCGTGCACTTTTTCAACATCTCAACTTCCAAAAGTTCTCCGAAGCTGACGTGCTTTGTACATGTTGACTTCGAAATGTGCTTCGCACCACAACGGCGTGCACTTTTTCAACATCCGAACCTCCAAAAGTGGCGCGAACATTTGGTGTTTTGTACTTTTTTGACTTCGAAATGTGCTTCGCGCCACAACGGCGTGCACTTTTTCAACATCCGAACCTCCAAAAGTGGCGCGAACATGTGGTGGTTTGTACATTTTGACTTGGAAATGTGCTTCGCGCCACAACGGCGTGCACTTTTTTGACATCTCAACTTCCAAAAGTGGTCCGAACTGGGTGTTTTGTACATTTTACGTGGAAATGTGCGTCGCGCCACAACGGCGTGCACTTTTCGACATCTCAACTTCCAAAAGTGGTCCGAAAACCTGGTGTGTTTTGTACATTTTGACTTGGAAATATGCTTCGCGCCACAACGCGTGCACTTTTTCGATATCGCAACTTCCAAAAGTGGTCCGGAGCTGAGGTGTTTTGTACATTTTGACTTGCAAATGTGCTTCGCGCCACAACGGCGTGCAATTTTTCATCTCTCATCTGGCCAGCTGGCTCCGCACCCGCCGCTTTAGCGAACCTACTTTTCGACCCTCCGGAGCCCCAAATCATTGGAAAAACACAGTGTTTCGTGACTTTCCTACCTTTTCGCGCATCTGTATCTTCTTTCTTCTTACTCTTTCTCTTCTACTCTTCTTTCTTCTAATCTTTCTCTTCTCTCTGCCTCTTCCCTGCTCTGCTTTTCATCTGTCCATATTGTCGGAAGTTTGACTTCTAAACTTCCTTCGATTATATATCTAAGATACAGTACCTTCTTGCGAAAATTTGAAGATGGACTAACATGCCCGCCATAAAGACATGGAAAGATTTACCCCCCTGTTCCCTGAATTTCATTCGCCTTGATTCCGGAGTAGATGAGCAGAAGGCCAAAGGCCAACTTGGCAAAGAAACCCATGGCCAACAGGCTGGTGCCAAGCCCGAAAAACGCCAAGCGCAAGAGGATGGCGGCAGAGATCCCCCAGAAGAGTGCACGTTCGATGTGGAGCCCTTCGGGAGTGGCATAGGCTTTGAAAACCAGCTGGAATACGAAGAGATTGTCGACCTGGCACGCTGGGATCATCATACATCTGTTCACGCTGGAATACAAAGTCAACAACAATCCTTGAAACGTAAATCAAGAATAATCAACATAGAAAACTACCAACCAAACACCGATCATATTTTTCATATGTGATGTCTTAAAAAAAACCTTTGAAGTTCCCCATTTCAAGCCACCGACAGCATGTACTCCAGGAAATATCCATAGCTCCAGCTGGCGGCCGCTGACCCCACTGCATTCACAAAGACGAAAGCGCTGAAGCCGAAACCGCAGAAGATCCAGAAAATGATCTGCTTCACATACGAAGGCCATGAGCTCTCCACCTGAAGCTATTTTGGAAAAAAGCATTGAACATATGTTCAGTCGTGACATCGCGGCGAACGCCGCTATAACGCTATGGGTTAGTTCATCATCCTCCAATAAAAAAACAGGTAGTATCATTCCCATTCATTCCCTATAACTTATGCCCAATCAACCAAGCTATGGGCTCTCCTGGAGGCTTGGAAACGGACTTGGAAACTTATCGAAAAAGAAAAAAAACTCTGGGACGTGGGAAGTTGTTATCAAAGAACTTACAGTGATGGTTGGTTTCAGAGAACATGGACCTAGGAAACTATCTGTTTTACATAATTTCACCAGGAAACATGAGGGTTTTCTTGTGAATTTCCCTTGGTCACAGTCTTGGATGATCATCCCATGATTTCTACTGCTCGCTTGAGACATTTCGATGCCCAGTTCATGGATTTTACTTCATCTATCATATGTAGCTGGGAAAGTCAATTCGTACATCCTTCGGGTTTCCATTTTGCTTGGGGAATGTGGATACAACCATACCTCCGTTCCCAGCTCCCTCCAACCACCGGATAAGCACTATCTCCAATAGACCAGGTAGGGTAACAGCACCCTATAGTGATCATTGTAACAAAAGTCATCTGATCCCTGTTCGCCTTCAAGAGGCCGAACTCCAAGTAAGACATTTGATTGACAATAGAAGTGGTGATTTTAAGGCGACAAAAAATGAATGCTGAGTTAACTGACATAAGATATGTTAACAACACGGCATCAACTGGTGTATTTCGAGGATTTCAGATTCGGTCAGCTCATTTTCCGACATTTACACGCATGTTTTCAAAAACCAAACATGAACACCAAACCACCTTTCTACCTTCGATCTTCGCTTTCAATATCTTTCAATTCCCACCTGAGACCGCCCCGATAGGGTAGGGGTCCCCCCCTTCTTCAAGGGGGGGGGTGGCTTCTTCAAGGGAGAGCTTCTTTGAAGGGAAGTCTTCAGTGCGGGGCAGCCCCCCCCAAGAAGAAGAAGAAGGGGGGAGGGGGCTTCTTCTTTCCTCTCTCTCTCTCTCTCTACTTCTTTCTGTGTCCATCTCCTCCTGTCCAGGAACATGGAATGCTTTGCGGGGGGAGGCGCTGCCGCCCCTCCCCCCGCGCCCCCCACCCGCTTTTTTTTAATACTCCCCTCCACCCACCCCACCACCGACTACTACTACTCTGCTACTACTACTAACACTACTACTAACTACGCTACTACTACTACTAGGGACGACAACGACGACGACGAATGCTAACCCACGAGAGTAGGAAAGCCTAATACGACTACTTCCCTTCCCCCCCCCGTTGAAGAAGAAACCCCCCCCCCTTCACAGGAAGCTCCCCCCCCCTTCTTAAAGAATAAGCCCCCCGTGAAGAAGTCCCCCACCCCTTGTTGAAGAAGAAGCCCCCCCCCCCTTGAAGAAGTCCCTCTCCCCCTGTGATTTATTTTTGTTTACGTGTCTTCACAATGCATTCATGCATGTTGACATGTATCCTTAATTCATATCTCTCATGCGCACTCCGCATGGCTCAAGACTAGCAGCAAACCGCGTAGTGTAAAAAGAGAGTGCAGCAGCCACTTCTTGTCCGCAGGTGTTTACTTAGGTTTCCAGGGCTCCCCTAATAGAGGGAAAAGCTACCTCAAAGTGGTAGCGGAGCCTGTGCCTTCGCCAAGTCTAGATCTGTGTGCCGAACTGCCGTTCTCTGCATACATTCCGTATATCGGACTTGCGGAGGCAACCTGTAGGTCAAGTTAGAGTAGCTGCCATGGTCTTAATCCACAACATGGATTCAGATGAAGAACAACTCCAGATTGTCTCTTATGAAGAGCCTGAAGCATATGCCACCACCAGTCATTCCGAAAACCGGATGGGCATCAAAATGACACCAAAGGTTCCACCCCAATTTGATGGCCAATCAAGCTGGTTTGAATATGAAGATTTAATTGATGACTGGTTAGGGATCACAACATTGGATGCAGATAAACACGGACCATTAAAGAATGCCCTCATTGGTTCCGCTTCTTTTTATAAGTCGATGCTCGATAATGCCCTACTCCGAGATCCGGATCGTGGCCTCGCTCATTTCAAGGACACATTGAGACCATACTTCGTGAAGGGAGTAAATCATGTGTTCCTTTGGCGATTCCTCCAGATGTTTCGCACATATCGAGGCCAGAGTGAATTCGTGCACTGGATAGGGCGATTTGAGATCGCGCAGGAGCGTTTGTTGGCTTCTTGGTCCGATCTGCTGGACATATCCGATCTTCCCGAAGCAGGCACTCCGGCATTTACGGCAGCACTCACAGATGAGCAAAGACTGCACTATAATGGAATAGTAACAGATGAAGATAAGCTAGCTTATCAACAAGAACTGAGAGAACAGACCATAACCAATAGAAGGACCAGACATGCACAGCAGTTTCCATTGTCAGACAATTTGATGTCACTGATTTTCTAGTGCAAGCAGACCTCAACGAGCAACAGCGAGAGCGCTTTGTCTCGTCCATGAACATCCGTCAGATTGCAATGCCTCAATACACCTATCTCCAAGTGAAACAGCTGTTCTTAGAACTTTTTGCCGTTTCCCGCACAGGTGTTGCAGACCCAAATATCACGCACCGCAAGCGGTCTAACTTCTACGTCATCGACGAGGGCGAGACCGAAGAAGGTGAGTACGGATTTTGGGTCTTCGATGAAGAGACGGGTGAAGAAGGTTTCACAGGTCTGTACACCGAGAACGAGTTCTGGGTTCTCAGCGCCAAGGGTTCATACTCTAAGCGCCGCATCTACGGCAGGTCCTTCAAGAAAGGTAGACCAAAAGGTTATGGCAAGAAAGGAGGAAAGAAATCAAGACCCGGCTTCCGCTCGAGGTCAAAAGGCAAAGGTTTTGCAGCATGGGAAGATGACCAGCAAGACACGGCTTTCTGGGGAAAAGGCAAGGGCAAAGGAAAAGGTAAAAAGGGCAAGAAAGGAATGATGAAAGGAAAGGATTCTTTCAAAGGAATGCCTTCATGGAAAGGAAAAGGAAAAAGTGATGCGAAGAACAAAGGAGGAACCAATCCATTTTTGTCACAACCTCCACAAGCTAATGTAGCACAGACTGCATCATCCAGTACATCACATGCCCCTGAAAAACAAGAGACAGCCCATGCCGAAGAAAGCTGGAGTTACGACTATGACACCTACTGGACAGACGACTGGTCAGGTTATGAATCCTACTATGGATATGACGGAGATTACTCCCAAGGTGATTGGTACAATTGGTCGTACTTTGCTTCCGCTGAGGAACTGACCGACTCCGAGGACAAGCATTCAGACGTCAACTTCGAGGACGGACAGACCGACAAGATCAACCGGTTCTGTTTTTCAGGCATCCGCTTGTTCCGATTGTTCGGACACGAACTTGTAGAGGCCCTCACATTCGTGCTTCTGTTCGTGTCTGTGATGTACCAGTGCTTTTCTGATTTGAACAGGTCCCTATTGAAGAGCATTCGCCAAGTTGAGAAGAGTGTTTCTACCGAAAACGGTGATCTGCATTCGTTTCAGCCGCACACAAGCCCGCTCGATTCCGTCTCTACGGAAGAGTGTGTATTCCTAAATTATGATCATGGTGCCCAACAAGCATTGCTTTGTGAGTATGTAGATTTAGGTTCTCATCCGACTTATGTCATCCTTGACTCAGGTTGCACTCGAGCCATGGGATCCCGCTTTGCCATAGATCGCCTTGTACAGGCTTGCCAACAACATCCCAAGCGTGATCACATTTGGTTTTCTAAGCAACCATGTTCAAGTAAGTTTTCATTTGCCAATGGAGAACAATCTACAGTCAAGGAAAGGTTAGTGATTCATTTTCGCAATGATCGTGCACAAACTGGTTGGATCACAACATGCGTTGACATCCTGGACAAAGGTAAGGTTCCTATTCTTTTTTCAGTTGAACAAATGAGGAATCTTCGCGTGAACATTGAGCACACTCCTGTAGGTGAGTTCATGACTTGTCCACTGTTTGGAATGCAACGCACCGCATTGGCGGTCAGTACATCCAACCATCCAGTCCTTGACATTATGGCTCTTGCTACTTCCAGTTGGAAACCGATGTACAGCTTTCAGTCCGAAGACATCACATGCCCAGCATGCAATGGTAAACATCGACCACACACCAACAAGGAAGGTTGCAAGAGATTCAAAGGATCAGAGCCTAAGCCTGAAGAGGTGCCGAAATCGGCCAAGCCTGATTCCAAGAAGATTGTCAAGAAAACAATTCAGCCTGATAGTAAGTTAGAAGTACCAGCTCAACCTTTTGATCCCGATGAAGAGCCAATGGTGGCCTCTGGGCCAAGTTCCGGTTCGAAGGACGGTATCCCAAGACGTCGGGAACCTCAGATTGAAGGAGAAACTGAAGTCAAACCGGAACCTAAGGTTGAAGTAAAACTTGAAGAGAAAAAGGAACCGTCACCTAAGGGAACTTTGTCACTAGCACTTCAGAGAATTCATGATAAGCTTCAATCACCCACTGAACTTCTCAAGTTGCATTTGAAGCATTATCACATGACCACTGAACAATTCAAGAGAAGAACATCGGCTCTGAAGTTACCAACAGAAATCTATGACAAATTTGATCAGATTACAAAATCATGTGACACATGTTCCACTGCCAGGATTGCACCATCGAGAGCTAAGGTTTCAGGAATCCGAAGTGAAGTCTTTGGTGAACTTACCTTCATTGATCATGGAGAAGTTCCGATCAATCAACAGTCAAAACTTCAATTCCTGCTTATGTATGATGGTGCAACCTCTTTGACCTACTGCTTTTGTAGTTCAAAACAGATCTGATCCGGTGACGATTTCCCATCTTCAAGAATACTTTGAAACTTATCAGCTGAATCCAAAATACATTGTTGCCGATCAAGCTTTCATGGGCATAGAGATGGAGAGTTACTACAACCGGCACAGCATCAGGCCAATCTCTCTAGGACCAGGAACACCATGGC